GTATTATGTTGTCTGGATGTGTTCGGCAAGATAGACAAGGAAGGCCTGCACTTGGTGTATAGAAAAATAAGTTACAACCCTCAGAGTTGACTATATAAAAATACGCTTGATGTTCGCATTCGTCTGTAATTTGGACTGTTAATAGGTGCGCATTGGCCCTTAAAGATTGCACGAATATGAACTTTTAGGACTCTTAAATACCAAACAGATCCAAATATTTAAAACCTGTTTATTATCTCGCCTCGGTATCTGAGATCAATCATTAACAGTGAGGGCTTTTAGTAAGGTTCCAAAAAAATCAGGATTTGAGAAGCCTCCAGAAAAAAAGGAAAGTTTTTCCTGACAATATCGAACACGAAAACTTGTCTCGAAAGTTGCTTGTCCACTCCCCCCCCCCTCGGCCAACTTCTAGCAAATGTTTGGCGCTATGAAATAATTATGAATTGAAAAAGGCGCCCACACCCCCGTGGGGTGTTGAGACCGATGTCGCCGATGTTTACCTTTGCGTAGGGGCGCTGGGGTGCCTTCCGGTTGATTTCCAGAAACAACCCCGAAATTTAGAAGGCCCAAAAAATAAAACAAAGTCGTGAAATTTCGAAATCAAATTAAAACAGCGGCCAAAGACCTCCGGAAAAGGTGGCTGGACCCACTTTATCAGTGTGACCCATTCTTCGGCCGGATCGGCGGCTATTGTTCGTGAGCACAAGTGGCCCATCGTGCCCTCCAGACATCATCAAACAATTCCTTATCGGCCGGGAAATTCTTGTGGGGGCCTCCCCGTTGGGCCACTTGAATATTTTGGGCTCGGCACGTTTTTCGCCAAAATTCCTTGGTGGGTCAGGAAATAAAGGTTCAGTGGTCGCTAGCGGAAGTGTGAATTTGGAGGGGGTTTTTGATGGCACCTAAGTTGTTCTAGGTATATATTTTTCTATATTAATTCCATGATACGGTTATTGCGACCCTATGCCGGCTTAAAAAAACACAAAATTCATGGTCACGTTTTAAAGCAATTTAAATAGGGACGGGTTGACGTGAAGATTTAAAGAAACGTAACGCGCCAATGCAATTCGGTTGCGTAACGGGTTCCGAACTGCACGTTACTCCCTGATACTTCCCTGAGCTAAACACCTACAAGTTACACTCCCCTTAACCATCGTACTGTTGCCTTGCTAGCCACTTTAAAAAGCGTGAACCGAAAGCTCCGATCATTACGCCACAACACTATAGTTAAACACCATCAAATCATCCAGAAAATCACGTATAACCCCGAGGTTCCAACCATCCGAACCCATCTGAATATTCGCCAGCGCAAAAATCGGAAATCGTGGGAACATTGGCTTGCTCCCCGGGGCCGCCCCTCAAAAATGACCTCCCCCTACCACCCCTCATCTAATCCTGAGCATTGTTCGCTTTCTGCAACCAAGTGTTTATGGGACGGCATTAGCTCGTCTACATGCCATCGGACGCTCCAGGAGAAAAAGAAGGATGAGGGGGGGAAGCCGCAAAAGAAAAGTGTCCAAAAATGGGTGTGGATTGTTTAAAGGTCAGTATTACACAAAACGGCACAAACCGGAGGGGGAAGGTCGAGCCGGATCCGGGTTTGTTTCGTTGGTGGCAGGATAAGTTTTAAGGGATTCGGAAGTCGTCTGTGGATTGGGCTGAGACTCATTTTGAATCTCCAGGATGCAAATTCATCATATCTGGGATTACGGTGGTAAATATTGTGTCGACAATATAGTAGTTTACAAGCTAAATCTACCCATGTGGAAAGAATTTAAGCTAGAAATTCTCTGAAATTAGGTAATACATAAAAAGGAAAAGAACTTTATCAAATTTCGTGGATCTTTCAAAGCGCTAAATCCCTTAAATTTTATGACAGTTTTCTGAAATCTGGGAACTTTTGACTAGAGTCTATCGACCTACCCGTGTACCCAAAACAATGATAACTTCCAAAAAGGTTCGGGTGAAACCTCTATTTGCAAACCGGAACACTGACTCTGCAGCGCACATCTCCAAAAAGCCCTCAAAACCCAACTAGAAACCCCGCACCACCTCCCGGGGCGAAGCCAATGAATAATCGACTGACCTCGTGAACTTCCTGGATGCCGCTTCGACCAGTGGGCGTCAGCAGATAGAAGTGCTGCTCTTCTTCAACTTACTGGCAACAATCAACTGGTTTGACGTGACACGAAAGGAAACGTCGTCCAGGTGGGCCAAGGAGGGATCGGTGGGTGACAATGGGAGGGATGGTGAGACAAAGCCATCCGCCATGTTGAGGCCCATTCGAGCGAATGTGGCCTTATGACTTCGGGTTCATCGTCGAAGAAAAGGTGGATGGGAAACCACAACAGGGTGGCACTGCAAGTCACAACAGCACAACCTCGAGAGTCTGGTCAGGTTGGAGGGGTTTCAAGGAGTTTGGAGATCAGTTACTGTAGCAGCTACGCTTGGGCAATTTTGATGGTGTAGGAGGTATATTACTGTATAAAGTTTTGCGCGCATCTCATTTAAGTTCCGTTACACGACTCCAGTAATCACAAAAAACCCCAAGACACCGTAATCGAGATATATGCAAACTTTCAAAGTAAACTTTACGTATCAGTAGGTGCGTGATAACTAAATGTTTCTATGATTTAGCAAAATTGGCGAATTTCTCAATTTATCTTAAAACCCTTCTTATTAAGCAACCAGTGATCATATACCGGAAGTGGAACCAACTACCTTGAGCTCGATGTTCCTATTTCTTTTCGGTTCGGAATTCGGGAGGAATACGTAAAATAGGAAAATATGAGGCATTCTCGCTGAGCCCAGGTTCAAAAAGCCGCGAAGCCGTTTTTCTCAACTTGCATGGTTAACTATAAGATCAATCCTGAAAGAAATCACGTAGCGCCACAAACCCAAAAACTTGATCTCTCCAGCCCCCAGAGAAGCCAGTGCGAACGAGACGCTCCGAAAAATTGAGCAATAGCCTCAGGGGGACGACGGTAGCTAGAGCCCACCTAGTTAGCACCAGCCAGCCCCGGCGCGTCAGTTGTGTCCGTGAGTTGTTCTAAGCCGAATTAATAGCCTGCCGGGCCGTGTTGCGACATTTCGAGAGCGCCTTTTCCGAAATGAGACCCTTGTTCCGCCCCGAAGAAAGATAGCCGCCCAACCGAACCGGCTGACAACCCCGGAGATTGGTGAGGCCAAATAATTGGAGTCGAATGTTGTTGTGGCCGTAATGGGGGCTGAAATTAGAATGGCACTTGTAAGTATGGCTGAGCCGGAAGGTAGATGACAAGAGAATGACTGTAAAATCAAAAACAAAAAAGCGCCATAACGACAACAAGACCGACTATTAAAGGTGGGAGGTTAAAAATAACGTAGACAAAACGGAGCATATGAGCCGCCAATAAGCTATTTAACAAAAAATGTATTTCAGGCCTAAATTTCGTATTCAAAAATTAAAGGAACCAGGCAGGACGATGAAATCAACCCCAAGCCTGATAGCTTTCGCCCTTCAATTTTTTACAACATATGGCCTCAAGCCGAAAGGTCGCAGAAAGTATAAACAAGCTGGCAAATGTGCACATTTGAATACAGGGGGTGGAGGGCGATGGGGGTGAGGGATCCCACACAGATGGGCCCGCTACCGACCGGCCGGTCAACTGGCTCCAGTATCCTAAAGCAGTCGTTCGACAGTCTACACTCTACTCAAAACTCTTCCCGATTTGAATAGAATTTAAGCTACGCTCTTTGTAATGTCGCTAGGATTGACTCGCCAGAAATCAGCAAAAGTGAGAATTTTGAGACAAACTTTAGAAGTGGTGTCCTTTGAAGCTGGTTTCGATGTCAAAATCGACCTTAAATATTTTTACTTGACACTTTTTGAACGAAAATAGGCATTATTGATGTCTAACAGGCGCACTTAAAATCTTTAGATGATTTTTCCGATTTCAAAGTTTCACTCCGTCGGTTTGCCGGTCGATCCTATGCAACCCTCACAGAATTCGTTAGACGATTTTAAAATTTGCTGAATAGAACAACCGTCATACTTTGCTCCTGAATCGTCCCCATGTTTATCATTACACACTGTTGTTTTTAAGAAAAATTCGAGCGACAGCCGATTGGCTGCCGTACTGTGCTGACTCATACCCGGTCTGTGGGGGCGGATGATTTGGAAAACAGTGTTGAGCCGCCATTTGCATCCCACAAGCCGCGCCCTGTCTTTCCTAGACGGGACTAAAATCAGTAATTTTTATCGATTTTTAGAAAAAGCGGTTTTTCGTAGGATCTAGGGCTTTATAACGCAAAACATAGGGTAAACCGCCTTTGCATTAATTCTATCACAATGCTGAATCAGAACCCGTGGAATCAAAACATTTGGGTTATCGATTTTCGAAACCTTTGATTTTGTCGGCGCCATATATTACGGCTATCTTTCTATGAACATAGAAGTAAACTTTTTAAGTTTGTCTAGATTTTTTTTCGTTTGATCGATAGGTATACCGGAAGGCGCTCGGATCGACAGTTGATCTCTAGCTTTTTTAGCAATTGTTTGAAAATAACGACTTCTGGATCAGCGTTTACTTTGTCTTTCCTTGCAGTTACAACCATTCCTGGTGTTCTTTCCTAGGGCCACCGGTCGCTTGGATGAATTTGAACGCCCCTGATCACTCAAAAATTCATTTCCCACGCCTGAGCCAGGGGTGCCAGGGGGGTGGGTGGAAGATGATTCAATCCCTTGTTCCTGCTATTTTGTCTGTTTGTTTTGATACTTATCTATGCGCTTCTTGCGGCATCGTTTTACAAGCCTCCGGTTCTCATCGAATTACAAAAATATAATACCTTAGTAAATTAATATGGATGTAGTTAAACCTTTTTGGGCTCCTAAATCGAAACTTGATGAAATTCCTATTGATGTCTCAGCACCTCTCTCAATCGAGTATTTTCTTGTACCCCGACTGAGTGTCGCTACGCCTTTCAGAGCTGGTCACAGGAACAGCGCCTCAAGCGAAAAGATGGCGGACCCTGTCGACAATGCTCCGTGGTATCTACAGGTACCTTGCCCAGATGGAAATTACCAAAGGAGGCTGTGAAGCCAACAATTTTCCAATTCGAGAAACCCCCGGTTTTAGGATCCAAAAGATCCCGGGACGGTCGAGCCCTTCATGGTGGCTTTCCGAAACCTGCAGGAGAATGGAAGGTACCCGTTAATAGATCCTGATGACTTCATGCGTCTCTTCTCCCCATAAACTAACTACACCTACTTACAACGCTTTTGTTAGGGAACTAGAGCAATACCTACAAGTGGAAGGTCGTCAGTTCCACAGCATCGACTTGTGCGGGTTCATCAAGCGCGCGTCCATCGAGTCCCGTCGGATCAACCACTTCTTGATGACCATGTCCGCACTCCCAGCGTGAGTTTATCAATTTTTCAGTTTTGAGTGTATTTGTGGGCCTTTCGCCTTTAGTTATGGTGATCATCTGGAGCGACCTGATTTATTCAGTAACTCGAATTCGGATTTATTTGTTTTCCGTGCTGGTATAGGTCACCCCAGCGCCTCTAAGCAACCCTAAGTACATAGAGAAAAAGCAAAAAAATTCAATATCTTATTCGGGTTCTTCTACAGGATTATTCTTCCTTAGAAATGAACGACCACCCCTCCCGGCTTCTTTGGAAGAACTTATCCACGAGTTCTGGGACATCGACGCAATTATAGGCCAAGGCATGGAGGTCAGTGAATACTACAGTTTTGATGTAGGGTTCTGTAGCGCTGCCTGGCGGATCACCGTGGGCAGATGCAGTGGCAGCTGGATTTTGAGCGTCAGTTTGGAGGAAGGTTTCGCGCTTGGGTAGGTGCTTACTCCAGTATCTTTATTTTAATTTATATGCCTACATAGTACCAAATTTTTGGGGTTTTTAAGAGGGAAAAATTTCGTATATTTAATCACGAAAATATAAGATTTTAGATTCTTGCGGTGCACCTCGTCCATAGGCACGTGAGAAACGATGAATAAGATTTCATAACTAATTTCATCAATCTACCACCTGAATTGAAAGTTTCTACCTGGACTAGATATTGGTCAAATGTGTTAGTGAAAGTTGCATGTCAAGTATTTCTCTGTTATCTACGTATATATCACTACTTTTTTGTGAACTTCTCCCAACCACCGATACCACCTTTGTTGCAATAAAATTTTTCTATGAAATATTTTATCAAGTTTCTTGCCGTTGCTAATACGGGCTTCCGTTTTTCGCTTTTCTGATATCGTTTTGCATACAATCAATACCTTCCAGCCATGGCAATGTTGACCATTGACCATCTGAAGTTCTTAGAACCAATGGTACAGCGTCTTCAGCCTGCGGTGACCACACACATCACTGTGAAGGACTTGCAAATTCAGCTGCTCCAGATGGGGATCATCCCAGAATTTCAGTAAGTATTTTTAATTGCCCCGGCACCACTGAATTTTTGCTAAACTTTTTTAATCCGTATTTTTTAGCTTTCCATCCCTGACCCCACTTGACGGACAATTCCGGCTGGCTCGTCAGTCGGTCTGGAAGATGTACGATAGCGCACTGGAGAGATTCGGTCTGAATGCAGACATCACGCGAACCATTGGTCATTATTGTGACTTCTTTACGCTTCTGGCGGCGGTGGGTTCTTGATGAAGGAGTATGCCGGTTGAAAAATATTTGTAGGTTATCCTTACAAGGATACGTTTTTAGTGAGAATGGAGTTTTAAGTTGAAACCAGGCCTATTCTGTGCAGAATTTTGCGCTGATTCCAATGCTGTTTTCCAATTTTGCTAAATAGCTCGATTTAAAAAGTTACAGCTATTTTAAGATAATTTTTAGGCCCAGAGTAGCCCTATGCTATGCTGTGCTAATTTTTTTTATAAGGTTTTAATTTTGTTTAAGTAGCCTATCTTGTAGAGAATTTTTTTCTGATTCGAATGGTATATCTGATTAAAGCGCTACTGCAGATCGACGATGGCTTACAATGGTGAGAAATAGGCTGTTTTTCACCATTTCCTATACAAAAATCGCAGCCGATACCAAGTATCGTCGATTTTTTCGATTTTAAACAATTTTGAGTTAAATAGCTCATTCGGTAGCGAAAATTTTTCTGAATACGGTGACAATATTCATTTTTGGAAAAACAGCCGGGAAAAGCAATATAATGGTCCCTAAAGAGGGGAAAATTTGGGCTAAAATGATCTTAAAATTGCTATAACTTTTGAAATCGAGCTATTTAGCAGAAATGGAAAACATATTCGGAATCAGCGCGAAATTCTGCACAAAATAGGCCTGGTTTCCACTCAGAACTCCATTCACACCAAAAAACGTCTCCTTGTTAGTTTTGCCACATGCTAATTTTTTCAACTGACTACAGGGTTAACAGAGGATGTCAAAAACCTAGGTGAACATTAAGTTACCTGTTGAAAATTTTAATATGTGTGCGTGCTTCTCTGTATGCCAATACGCATCTAATTCCATACCACTAATACCTTGAAATCCTGCCGCTAACCCGCACCCAATATCGATGACCAAATTTGCATACGGAGTGGCTCCCATTAGTTTTATTGTTCACTCCTACGCCACTTGAGCTAACCAATAAAATTCAAGTTCTAGAAATTCGACGAGGCTGCTGCCAAGGACCATCATGTGCTTTGTGAAACCGCGCGCCTCGTGCTCCTGCGCTACGGTGTTCCTGGGCTTCCGGGTGGTCCGCCTCTTTGAGCACCACGGCATCATTACGCCAATTTGCTTTGTTTAAATGCACGGTTTCACGACCCCGGTTTTATATTTTTGTTTCTGATCTTGGCTTCTCCTAGCGCACTCACTCGCTTCGCTCCCCCGCCCCCGCCCCCAACACCGCACCCTTTCACTGCGATATTTTGTTCCATAAGTTAATTTTCTGAGTTCTTTGAAAGTTTTGTTAATGTGGTAACGTGTTATCACTAACTGCTAGTAAAATTATTCTACTTATTTGCTGCAACTAAAAACCTAACATGAGATAGCGAGAAAAATTACGCTTTCAAATCTGCCTTGGGATGGTGACTTTATCAAGAGCTCCTTGTTCTTAATAAAGGGACTGACAAGACGTGGCTATAGATTATCTTTGATGCGTTTTTGCACTTTCACACTGGGTTTCGTAAGTCCCTTCAGCGCACAGACTGGCAAACCCTTGGAATTCCAACCACTCACCCTAGAATGCCCTCAAAAGGAATCTGCCCGCTAACGACTCCAGCCCCCAGACCACCCCTCGTCTTCATTGCCATTCTGGAGTATTTGGTCAGTCTGCTCCGCCAATCGAATATCCGCGTCGAGCGCGCCCCGCGTGAAAGACGTGATATCACAGGGGGGATCCGATCGGCCATTGGGGTGGGCCCCCGGATGTTTGTCGATGGGAACGATAGCCCACACCCTATCACACGCCATCTCCATCCACCCCTCCAGAACCACCTAGCCGACGCCGCGGCCAACGCCATTTGCAACCCATCCGCCCGCCACGCACATTCCCGCGCCGATGAGCGCGGCACCGCCGATTCTGGTAATTGCTATACTGTGCGTGTACTCAGGTAAGTATTTTGCGACCTAATGCAATGTATGATGTCGTATATCCTCTAATACAGTATAGAATCCTTTATTCTCCATTTGAACTTCCTTCCTCGATTAATAAAAACTTTTTGGTGGTTTTGATAAGTGTGTCTTATTGCGTGTCTACTCCTTGTTGGCCTGCCTTTGATCGATTTTGTCTATGATATTCTTTAACTATCATATCCTTGCTAGCTACCGTATCTTTAATTTTAGGTTTTAGCATTGGCGATTCATATAAATTTTTAAACTGCCTAAATCTTCATCAATCTATTTTGAAAGCACATTCTCTCCTATCAAAAGCACTTCTATCATTCATTCAGTCGATTTTACCAAAAACCGCTAAATTGATTTTTTAAAGGTTTCTTCAACAAATAGCAATCTGAACTCTCACTAAACTATCGCCAAAAACGTTAAAATCTGACGTTTTCGCAACGAGCCACGTTTTTCTAAAGCTTTCCCATTGATTTCTCAAGAAGCTGTTTTAATTAAGGAGTTTTAGTTTCAGTTCCAACCCCAATACACCAAAATTGTAGATTACTGTAAGCAGATAAGGCTTCCATATGCTTTTCCATCCAAATTCTGCTTTCAGTCCTTGCCGATCATACCACAAAACCCCCATGCTGTCGTGATCACCTCTCTGCGACAACTTGTGCTCGCCTCCTCCGCTCGAACCCACGCCATTTTGGTGATCGATGCAATCTAGACGCGGAATTTCGGTAGGCTTTTCCTTTACGCTTTCTAAGTTTGCTTTTGCAGACTGGTCCAATGCTGCGGAACTTGCAATAAAAGCGGCCTGGCGATGGCCTACGATTTGGTGGCTAGGTCCCTAGTTTCGGCCCAATGCTTTGATCGTCACGGACCTGGTTTCTGCAGTCGGTAAGTATTCTAAGGAATGCCTGCAATGAATCTATAATTTCCTGCAACCTTGCTAATCTGCTAGCCCTAGCTTGGGAATACCGGGTCGTTTAGGTACGTTAATAGCACAGAACCGTACCATCAGCCGGTGAAGCCATGGAAGTGCGATGGGGAGAATCCGCAGGTATTTATTTTAATGTTACTATTCAATTGTGCTTAGATTGCTTTTCGATCTTGTCGACAGTCGTGTGGGTTTTGCGACTTCAAGATCGTTAACTACACGCTGGAGAACGCGATCAAGGCCTGCAAGGTGGTGAATAAGGAGGTCGATAAGTTGGGCGTGGAAGTGGACTGTTCTGTCCCTATCCATCCTGTCCAACAAAATAGGATTGTAATTTGTTTATTTAGGGATTTTGGATCTGTTTAGTGATACTTTGATACAAGCTTCTTTTACTAATGAAAATTGGCATTGCTAGTAAGCAAACGTGAATTTGCTAAAAGATGTCTTAACGTTTAATCGGAAAATGCCGCATTTTGAAAGAAAATCGTGTCTTTGAAAATTAAAGTAATTGACTGTCCACTTGATCGAAATTCGCAATGTTTTATTGCCCAATATTTAATCACAAATATATTGAAATTTTAATATCGTAAACGAAGGGTTTTTCACACTAAAAAATTGTAAAGCTAGCAGGAATCATCAACTAAGCTAAAACGCCGTGCCACACCATTTCAACGTTTTCTTTGAGAAAGATAGCTTTCCAAGTTCGTTCTAAGTTCTATTATCCTGGCCAAAAAGTTATTTACCAGTAGAATTTTTCTAGAATGAATATCTAGAACATACTAGATACTTTCCATTTCCTTTCCCCGGCCTACCGCAAAATAGTGTCAGCAAACATGGTGGTCCGCGTGGTGGTCGGGCTGATTAGGGGGAAACGTGTTGGGTGGTCCCCGCGGGATGCCTCGAGACAGCTTTCGGGAGTCTCGATTCCCACCCCCAGCCCAGCCAATGTTTCCACGCAGCTGCCAAAATACGCCCAAACACAGTATCTTCTATCTTGTTGTGCGGTTTATAGACCAAATATGACACTGATTTCTGAAATATCGTATTTCCTCCAATATAGGCCACTCTCCTAAATAAAATCTGGCAAAATTGTACCTTCTATCTTCATCATAAATTTCAGTTCTATTTCTGAGTTTTCCTAGTTTTCTTAGTAGTTTTAGACAGCCAATATATGCAGATTTTGATTTTGACAACGTCGAGCAGGTTTATCCAAACTTTCGGTATTTTTTAAGTCGAAAAGGACAAGACCTACCTGATAAAATCCCCATTTAGTGTTATTGACAAAAACAAACCATAGGCTTTTAGGAAAAACACGGCATAACTAAATTGTTTCGCAAGCCAAGACCTTAAAATCTAAAAATTTACCAATTTCCGCGCAATTCTCAAGATCTGAAACCCAAACGGGCAATGAAAATCCTTCAATTTAAACTATATTGCTACCGAATTATATTTTCCATCTTTTAGAGCGTCCAAAAAACATGGCGCGATCGCTGGGGCCCAAGGATGAAGCCGGGACATCTCGATCGAATTGGCTAACCACCATTATTCATATTTATTCTCTAACTTATTCGCCTCAACCGCTCACACCAAGCTCTTTCGCTTTCCACCCGGGTACACCACGCTTTTAGGTAGAGATTCTGCTTCTTGCAAATAAACCATTTATTCTCTGAGATCCGCGACTAGAACAATTTGATTGAGAAATTACCCGTGAATTGGGGGATATAATTTCAGAAATATGATGATAGCATGCGATATATACGGTAAATTAAAATAGGCTAGAAGTAAGGCCCAAAAATCGACATATTTTTGCGCCAGAACAAGTAGAACCACCAATAGAAAAGGTTCCAAAATAGGAAAACTAATGGAAATCCATAGCGACATCCCTTATCGATATGAAGGGCTGTTCGGGAGAAGGATTTCGACATCTGAAAGGTTTAAATTTCATTTTTAAGTACAGTTAATTGTTAGAAAAACGGAAATTCGGGGGTTTAATTATAAGATCTAGAACAAAAATTGGTCTAGTTTTCTGTTAGCGGCACGTAGAATGCAAACAGATATGTAAAAAGCGAGGGATGGACAGTCCGAGCCACGGCAATCTAGCACCGATGCTTGGACCTACGGTGGAATATGCGTTTTCGCAAACGCTGAGCCGGTATCGAGACATTCGTCTCTTTCGTTGAGCCGCCATTTTCTGTTCTTCGATGGCTTTTTGTTTTTCCTGAATAGATGAGGAGCTAGGAAAGAAAAGTAGTAGTGCTCCCTTTCCAAAGTTTCCATTTAAAAATTGAATTTTTAAACTTCCGCTTACAGCATTATAAAATATCGCCGTCCCATTATCCGTTGCATAGACTACAAATGGCTTTGTCCGCTCCTGTACCGCCTTGTCGAAAAGCTCCTCGTCGTCATCTGTCAAATACAAAGACCTTCTGGTCACCTCAAATACCAGATATATCCAAATCTTCCCTTCGAACGTGTACGGTGCCCCTTCGCCTCGGCGATAAGTTATCGTAAGACGACAATGAGCCTGGAATTCAATATATAGCCTAGCCGTAAAAACGCTCAAAATTAAAATTAAAATTAGCACACGGGACTTGCCAGTTAATTTTTAGAAAGCCAGGTCGTTAGGGAGGAGGGATTTGTTAGAGCATACCGCTGTCTTTACCGTTGATCACCGTCATTGGGAGTTCTTCATCGGCAAACCGAATTCTATCGCCAAAGATCTTCGGTTTTGGCCGATGGTTGGCGATGCGTGGATCGTATGGTTCTGGAACAAAAGAAAATCGGGAAATAGAGCTAGGGTCTTGCTTACCATAACTATTATTGTTTGCCAGTGATCTTCTGGTTTCGGGTGTCATATGTGGCGTGACAGGGGAACGAGAATTTTTGGCGGAGCTAACGATGAGTGGGTTTAAAAATTCCAATAAGTTTTTCACCTTTTCGGAGATTTTGATCCTTTCCTGATATCATTCATCCCCATCTCCTTTGGCTCTACCGTGTCGGTGTTGTCAACTAATAAATGAAAACTGGTTTTTTGAAGCTTTAAGGCCGACTACCTCTCGATTGCATAAACTTCTTTGCCATTTCCCCGTATTTCTCCGCCTTTCGCATATAGCTGTTGATAATCGCGAATTCAAGAAGGGCCATGAAGACGAACAGCATGCAAGCTAAAATAAAAATGCTTCAGAAAATAGATCTTACTTACCGCCATACCAAAAGTCAATGGCTTTTGCGTAGCTGACCTGAGGGAGCCCGAAACGTAAACCATTACCCTAAAAGCGCGATTTGTTTCTGAAAATTTGAAAAATGGCTTTATTGCTAGTACTACGCGACGCTCCTGGCTTTATCGGGTTTTTTTTTTGAGATCTCAAAGTAACCTTGCTCTCGATTCATAAGCTTTTTCAAGCGGCCCTAGGGTCCAGTGATCGCTGTGATGGGCGCCTGTCAGACCGGCCCCAGAAAAATCTTTGATCGGTTCTACGGATACCCTTCTCTCTCTCTCTCTCTCTCTCTCTCTCTCTCTCTCTCTCTCTCTCTCTCTCTCAGCGCGATCAAAATACTCACCAATGTCGTCAGCGAAACAAGCGTGGTAAAAGAGAGCGTAACCCTGGCAGGAACGGCTGAAAAATTATTAAGAACTGAAAAAGCACTACCGTACCTCTCCGATCAATCCAAAATGACACCCAGGAAATTATAACAATTAGCCCGGTCGGGATATAACTCTGCACCAAGTTGTATCCAATCGAGCGGGACAAATGAATATTGCCAAGTAGGCAACTAAAGGTATCTAGAAGCAAAAAGCACCTATCCAAAAGCAAAATTACATACCAACTTTATACTTTGTGGGCGTCACTGCATAGCGGTAGGTTCCGTTACAATACGCTTCCGTGACGTTCGTAATCTCGAATTCCGGAAGCCCAATTGACGGGTTAAACCGAACGGGATTCGGGTTGAACCAGGTTACATTAACTTGCTTTGCAATATAAGCATCTAAAACATAACTCGTAATCACAATATTTCTTACAAGATAATATTTGAATCCCGCATGTTTGTATGTCCATCGGGTAATTTTTTAATTCAAGGTTGCAGCTAATTGACATTCTAAAGAAATATGGCACATTACAGGAAAATTACGTGAAGCGGCAGGAGTACGCAACAGTACCATCTCGATCAATAAACAAACTAAAATTCGGCACAGTGACGTCGTGTACTTTTGACTTAATAGCATTTGCAAAGTACAGATCGGGTAGCCTAAATTCTATAAAATATATTAATTTTTGATGTACCATAGCTGTTGTCGTATAGCATCGTCGTTGACCATTACATAATCTGGGAAATTATGCCTAAGTCGCCAGTCGTTCCACGACATGTATGCATACATATCCACATCAAAGGACTAAAATTAAGAGGTAGAGGAAAGGTATATTTAAGCTACCATCTCCTCGGCCCTAAAATTGCCGATACTCTCCAAATAGAAGCCGAGGTGGACATCGAGGGGTCTTGAAGTATTCTGGGTCGGAAGTCGCTTGTTAGTGTTCTCGAGAATATCTCTGATGGTTGAGAATTCGGATCGAATCTCGGTGACCAGGCCGAGGAGGATGAGCAGGTGTCTAGGTGCCATTTGGAATGGGGGAGGGGGCTTTCCATTGTTTCTTTGGGTTTCTAGGGCTCCCTAGGGGGTGTGGACCCCCATTAGCAGTCGTCACACGAGTAATCCACCTTTAGAAAAATGGACTTTTTAGGGGTGTCTAGTAGAAAAATTCGATGTGGGAATGGATCAACGGTTTATGAAAACAAACTACGTTAATAAAGGTATGTTATCAGGTTTTTAGTGGGCAGTGAAAGTTTTTTTATCCAAAATGAATTAAATACTCGTGGTAGTGTAGGGTTTTTTTTTAAGCTAAAAAGCATTAATTTTTGTATAGAGCATAGTATCTAGTACCTAGCAAGTATTTAAACGCCAAATTCTAAAAAAAAGAAATCCTATTTCTGATTTCATTTCCAACTACGGTACTCCAAGTACACTCCAAATGTTCGACTTTGATTCAGCACTCGTTTTTAAGTTTCTAGGTGTAAATAAAAAGGAGAAATGTTTTCACGGTATTAAAAATCAATCCGTGTTAATTAAGGCATTTAGAGTCTTTTAATAGGCATTGTGACTAGCTAAACTCATTCAAGATAGCCTTAATTAAAGACCTACAATAACCCGTCCATCATCACCGCCACCTCATACCTCACACCCAGGCCGATCCTAAAAGTGCAACATTTTATATGACACCCCAAAGATAGCAATTTAACAATCAATCGTAAGTGCGAACAGGTAACACAATGGACCCCCTTCTTTCACCTAAAGCCTCCTCAACACCCCCAAAGCTTTCGACCGGATAGAAGCAATTTGGCACATGGGCCCCTTCCGGGCGGACGCTCGGAAAAATAGGACGAGAAAGAGCTGCACATCGGTGGATGTTGTCTTGCGTTTTTGGGAGTCCGTGAATCTTGGGGGCATTTATTTCCCCAAGGGGGGGAATAGGAGGGAACGGGTTTAATTAAGAATCGCAGCAGAGGAGGGGGGAATCTGTGGCAAATGATGGGTGTGTAAATAGGGCCATTTGGGCTGAGGCATCAAGCAAAATGTCCTCCATATTTTTGGTCCGGGGTTGGGATGGTAATTGGGATTTGGGTAAAGTGCGAGAGTTGGGAGAGATTGGGTTTTTGTGGGTTTCTGGGGGATCTAAGTACTGTAAGCTTGCGGGATGCAATAGAAAACAGCGAGAGAGCGAGAGAGAGATAGAGGTAGAGAGCAAGATAGAGAGAGAGCTCCTGCGAAAGAGAGAAAGCAAGAGAGAAAAACAAAAAGATACAAAGATCGGAATCAGAGCAATAGAATTTAAATCGTCGTGATACAAATTTTAAGCACGTCAAGGCCTAATTTAAAGCAAAAATTGATTGCCAACTGGTTCCGCTCCACATTATCTCCGATTTTTTTACTATAACTAGCAGGTCTTAAACCTCGAAAAACCCAAGACTGAAGTTTGAGCCCCTCAAAAATGTTGCACGCACACGTGTTGGGGGGTATCTAGTTCAGAGACCAACACCTCCACAGCTTCTCCCATCCCCCAGACTGGCCAACTGTTTTTCCTTGGCCCCTTACGGCCCCTCAGTTTTGCTCGATCCACGGCTCGGGCAGAAAGAACTAATAAGCGGCAGTTTGACAGGAGGAGATAAATCACTTACACCCCCCAGACGAAATGCCCCCAATGCCATCGGGTGGATGAGCAAGCAGATTGTGGCTTGAAGCCTCGGGCTGGCTAGAACCCGTGAATTATCCTCCGCTCCCCGGGGCCGACCCCTTAGATGTAACCATAGGGATTATTTTTGAACGCTTCGCTGGGTGTTAGAATGCAAATCGCCGGCTATAGGGGGATGCGCTAGGGAAGGCGGAGGTCGAGAATATAGTATTGAGGCTTTGGGCCTTGAAGGGAAGTTACGATTTTTGGAGCGACTTTTTTCGGAGAAAAACGAAATTATAGGTGGAGAAGTTTTGCAGAGTCGGAGGCTGGGCTTTGTTTTCGAGGTGAAATTGCATCAAAATAAAATTAAAAATTGTATAAGCACTGAATTTGCCTTACGAGGATTTGTCCTCTTTTGGACTTTTGGACAGTGCATCCAAAAATCGGGGCAGGCCTTTTTTGCTTTACCCTCAGCCGGAAGTTCCTAAAAATTTTCGATATTTCCGCTATTTTGTCGCGATTTTGGCTACGTCAATCGATAGAGCATCAAAAAATATACGAATAAATTGTAAGAGTATTACATTCCAGGCGCAAATAATGCATAAAAATATTGTAGGGAAAAACTTTTGGGAAACTCCAGTTGGGTGGGGGGCGGGAAGTCAAAGCCTTAACTTTTTTGTTGAGTATTTTCAATGTGCAAATTGCCACAAAATCTAATTAAAATAGTGCCAGGGTTGATTGCCCCGTTTAGCCCCATGATATTCTCCGCTCTGCATAGTTTTCCTGAATTCCACGACAAAAAAAAATGAAAAGCATTCCCTCTCTGCCATTATATAGGCTACCGGTCACTTCCGGATTATGCTAATTACCCTAACAAAGAAGGCGCCGAAAAAAAGTCCAGAAAAACTTAAATTTAATGTTGACAATAAAAGATTTTGAAAAATCTGATATGCGTGCAGTGATCTTCAGACCGTTACGCGCCTAATGACATATCATACGTAGCTAAAAACTCTTTCCCTAGCGAGATATCCTCCGGACACGCTTGAGAAAGTTGCATGCAGTTGCATGTCACACACACACACAAACACTATTTTATATATATAGTAGGATTGCGAGCTCAATTTCCATTAATAGATATTAGCTACTTTTACTCCTACACAAAGCTTCTTTTCAGACCTTTAGACAACCAAAGTACATCCAAAAAAACAGAGCCAGCCGTTTTTCACGTTGCACTTCTCCACCCCCCCGCCCCCAGCCCAAAATCGAATCCACCACAATGTTTCCGGACAAAAAACGGCCCGTGCAAGAAAGCGTAGCCCCCAAAATTGCTTCAAATCAAGTGGGCCTTTCAGGGGGCAAGGTAAAAAAGGATGAGGTTTCTTTTTTGAGAGTGGAGCTGCACCTCAACGGCTCGCTTATCCCAGCCAGGTGCTAGAGGGGAGGAAGTGAGCGGAGTGTGGCTTGGGTTTCAGTAGCGTGATCATGCAAAAAAAAACGGGCAAAAAAATTAAGTGGAAGATTTGTTTTTCCTGAACCTGCGACAGAAATTTGGCTGCAGGCCTAGTCGGAAATTAGTGATTAGGTAACTTTTGGATCGAAAAGCAACAACAATAATGGATAATTCCAGGAAGCAAAAGCTTACAAATTTAGGCTTCATGCGCAGCCGGAAATCAGCAATCAGTTTTTTTTGGATCAAAAGTAATGGCGAGAATGGAGAATTAAGGAAGGTAAAATCTAAAAAATTAGGCTTGAGGCTAAGCCTAAAAATAGCAATTAATCTAATTTTAATGAAAAACAAATGGCAAAAATGGATAAGAAAGACTGGCCAACTGACGACCTGATGTGTCGCATTCCGCGAAACATCTGCTTCGTGCCCAACCGGAAATTAGCGGTTACCTTATTTTTTAATAAAAAAAATAAATAAGAAAAATGGAGAATTCCAGAAGGTGATGCTCCTTTTCGAAATCTCAAAATTTTACGCCCCAAGACCCAACTGAAAATTAAATTAAGGTTTTTTTTGTAACAAAATCAAAAACAAAGAATTTGAAAGGCCAAAAGCAACAAAATCCTGTTTTCAAGTTCTTTTTCGGATAATAGGACACTCCCAACTTTTTTCAGCAGTCATTTTGATGGGAGCCACGGATTATATGGACAAAGACGGGGCGCTGTGGCCCAAATGCGGAGGAGATGTGCCATCGGAATTGCGTGCCACCGACCCATCCCAACGCCCAAAAATCCGCATCACAATAGAGGCGTTTAGCCAGGGCCCGGCGTCAAAATACGGCAATAAGCTAGGTACGCTACTGTGAGGTTAGGGTAATTTTTAGTATCTTAATTCGTCAAAAAATGCTGGAATCAATTTTTCGGAATATTTTTAAAGATATGTAGGTAAGTAGCATCCATGGATAAAAGTGCATTTGAAAGTACAATTTTATACCTAAACCAGGGTAGAAAAGCCGCTTCTCGACTTTTCAACCCTGACCCCCGTCTAACCCCATGGCATACGACAATTTGCATAAATTTCTCGGATTCGGATAACAAAGAAAAAATGAAAATTACTTCTCTCCGCCCCGATATATAGGCTCGCGCTACTTCCGGGCTATTTTAATCCATTCCTAACAAAGAGGCTACCCGATTTTGTAACAAAAACTTAATTTTAATGTAGAAAATAGCCTAATTTGTAAAATCTGAGATGCGGGGAGTCATCGCCAGGCCATTACGCACTTAATGACGTATCATACGTAGCCTAAGACCCTACCCCTTTTGAGATATCCTCCGGACACGGTGACGGAATTTACATGCAAAGTGGCACAAACACACACACATACACTATTTTTTTTATATATAGTAGGATTCTGCCAATTCGGTAAAAACCATCCTGGCTTTCGCCCCTTAAATCGATCAAAATCGGCTGTTTAGATATTTTTATATTTTGTGTTGAATTGATTTTTGTCTATTATATTTAACGTACGGTATACCGGATCGGGGTTTTTAAGGAGTAGGCTAAATTTTAAATTAGCGCTTTCCACTGATAACTTGCTGTTACATTCCTTTTAAATTGTCATAAATCACAGGATATTAAATTTTATTCAAAACTCCTATCAACCTAACTCAACCCAAAAACCCAAAAAAATGTCTCCTCCAAAGGAATTGCAATTTTTTTTCAAAAATTCAAATCTCTTATTCTCAAAACAATAAACAGCTGTCACGTAAGGTCAACAGCCAGCTCGTGCCGACCACAAAAAGCCGAAAGTCCCCGGCCGTTTGCGGTGCTCTCGCCCTCCGACCCGGCCAAGGGGGTGTTTGAGCCTCCCCCCCCCCTTTTTCGGTTCTCGTTACAGCGCCCTAAATCATGATAGCACATAAAAACCTGACAGACAACCTCGTACTCAATGCCCGGGGCTATCTTCGAATTCGTACGGGGAATTTTTTTTTCATGCTAACGGCTCTTTGAAGTGCATTTTCAAAGGATGCCGATGCCAAAATCGAGACTGACAATTAATCTGAAAAATGTTTAAAAATTATATCGTTTAGAGAAGCACTTTGTAGGCTTTATCGAGGTCGGCAGCAAAATATCGAGTTCATTTGGTTCACGTTTAAAGGGGCCGGCAAGCACCGACTATGGATATTTTAGGCAGATTTCGAGTTGGCTTTGTCATGGGTTTTCGCACCCGTCTTTCTATTGCGTAACCGGATAAGCCCGGTGGGTTTTTAAAATTATCTATCGTATATGCCGCGAAATTCGCATAACATGTCGGATCAGTAGCGCCATTATTGTGCTCTTATAACAAAAGTTCTAGATTCCAAACATGTAATTTTGTCAGTGCCTTTAAACCCTTAAATCTAAATAACGCATTCAAATAGATTATAGAATATATTATAAAAAGATAAAATGCCGGATTTCATAGCATTTTAAACCCTTAAGCCCTTCACAAGACCTTTCTCGCAGCAAAACCCCCTGAACTTTTTCATTAACTTGTTTACTAGAGCCACGAAAAATGCCACGTTGCCCTCCAAAATCCTGATGCCCTCACTCACTCCCACAACCTCCTAAATCCACGATGTAAACGACCGATCTCTGACAGCCCTTTTTCCGGGCGAGGGTCTGCACAAAAAAATGACATCGACTCGTGGATGTTCAGCACCGGCTGCACAAATACACGACGGTAATATCATTCGGTAGACTTCGACAGACTTGAACGCAGCCCACCAGCCTCCACACACATTTCGAATGCACCCACGGCCGGCTAGTATTTGGGTGAATTTTATGGGGATTTATGAAGATCCAGCAAAGTTCTTAAATGTCATATCGATAGTACTATTTAATCTACAGCCCCTTTACGGCTGAACAAAAGTGAAATTTGCCCTATTTCGATAACAATACCGACAATTGGAAACAGGCTAGGATCTAAAGTCGTAATCTAATGATATATGTTTTCCATAAAGCCATAAAAAGCGCGTCATTGTTTGTTTTACAGTACTTTCAATCTACAATATTTTATGCTAAACAGCCAAATTTATAGATTTTCGAAAACAATAACCAAAACTCAACCTTGCTGGGGCCCTAACAGTTATGATATTCCGATTAAAAGTTTTAATGAAACTTTTAGGACCAATGGCTGCGGGCCAGGGCAGCCCGATTTGCATTCCACGCTGGTATGGTAATCAAAAACCACGGATTCGCAAAAATGAGCACCTTTTCAGCTAGTTATTGGCTTCCTGGCCCTTCTTACACTATTGACGTGGAAGCCCGTCCAAAACTCTCACTTTTCCTATGATTACGATGGCTTGAATGCATACGATTTCTCTTGCCCAAAATGTCGATATGGAAATACGGCATTCGATCGATCGCGATCGGAAATAGAACTACAAGGAGATGAAGTTTTTATATATAAGGCCTACTATGATTGGAGGTGGCAAAATAACCTCAAAATTCCAAACTTGAATCCTTAGGGACGGTGGTGGACCTCGTATTCGGCTTCTTCTCATTGGAAACTGCTACCATTTCAAACAAAACAAAACTAGACTCCGCATTAAAGTGAACAACCAGTTTATGGAGACCGGTTGGGTCTCTGGAGGCAGTAAGAACTTCTCGTACCATCCCGAAAAGCTCGAATTTTCCCAAAGAATGTCCAGAATATGCTTGCTACCATTCAGCGATAGACGTGGCTACAGTACCCTTTGAGTTTGAACCCCCAGAACAGGTAAAAAAAAGATTAATTGATTCTAAATGATGACTAGATTACCGTATACCGCGGAGAAATCTCGAAAACTATGAAATTACATCGAATAACGAAAAAATACGAACCAGGAATCACTTCTTGTCTTGAACCGATGTATTGGTAAGCTTTAAAAACACTTTTCGAAATTTTTTCAAGGTTCTCCGAATGGCCGCGATTAATAGTGTTTATGGAATTATACCAAATTATCGGATATTCTAAATTTCTATTTACCTATACCTCAGTGACAAAGAGTGTGAAACGGGTTTTGGATTATTATGAAGCAAAGGTATCCATTACATAAAGCCACTCAGCTTCGAGTTTTTTAGGGATTAGCAGAGCTAAGGCCCTATCCATTAATGCCTTATACTGATAAGGTATATTCTCACATATTAAAAAAAATGGTATTTTAGATTGATCCAAATAATTCCACGTACCATATGGGGGAGCACCTTGTCGAGAGACACTGCGCTTTTTGGTCAAAAACTAAATATTCCTCAAACAATGATATTGATGACTTTTTCTTTCATAGGTATTACGGAAATATCACTTAATGTATTTTCCTAGAAACCGTTCGATCTCATTATACGACTGGATGGAAAGTATCGTCCAAAATAAGACAAAAATAGGTCAAAATTCTATCCAATTAAACCCAATCCAAATTAACAAATCTATCCAATTTCCATCAACATTCACCGCATTTTAAGGCTCATTCGCGATTAAACATTATGGATTACAATGGAACCCTCCACTACTTCCAAGGCCATTTGTCTATGAAGATTTCCTAAAATTAAAGGGATTACAAAATCCAATGGTATTTAAAAACGAGCGCGCCAACAAGGTAAGCCGAAAGCTCGGATTTATCAATAAGTCTACAGGCTTTATTCCTGACAGAATACGCTAGGCAGCCGTTCACACATTGGGTCGACAAATTCTTCAAGGGGAAACGTTTTTATGGGGTAAGTTTTTAGATAATAGCATGCTAAAATGATGACCAATTTAGGCAAAATCCCATGAGATCGTGTATCTTCATGCGAGGAATAGTTTTGAGGGGATGGTAAGTAAAAGTACTCTAATTCCAAGCGTTTTAGGAGATAAATCATAAGCAAACCGAGCAAACGATGAAAATGTCTTCCGAGGTGAATTTGCTTGGGCCGGTAAGTAAGTTGTAAATGCAAAAAGTGCCAATTAGGATCCTGAAGCTACTTTGGAGCGGATAAGGAATGTGACGGCCGAGATATTCGGATCAAATCCACCCCCATACACACATCATACTACACAAGTTTTAGGAAAATGCCTGCACAAGTGAGTGCTGACTTTGGCAGGGCAGTTGGCCTTTGCCGGGCCTTATCAAGCCGTTCGATCTTAATTTGGTCGAGAGTTCGAATTGGGTAATAGATGGGGAAATTCCGCGCGGCGCACCCTTTATTTTAAATTCTTCGTATCTTAATAATTTTTCTAAGGCAATCGAATTGGCCAAAATTTCCTATCCTTGAAACATCACACGCAAATTACCCATTTTCAGTTGGCTAAAGGACCAAGCCGGCTGCCGTAAGCCCGTCACCGGATGTTTCAATGTGGCCAAATATCTCGACGACTGGGTGTTTGCCGAACCGACACCAGAACACCGATGGACGACGATTTAGTTGAATGAGCCGCGTAGATTGCTAAATCTCCAAATTTACTCCACAGAAAATATCCAAATCATTAGATGCAAAAACACAGAAAGGCAAGCTCATCGGGACATTCACAAAATGCGAAAGTAGAACTGGAATGAAATGTACAAGCGAAGTCAATCACGGTATGGGGAAATGGAAAGCACCATAAAACTTCAAGGCAGGGAGGGAGCACCAATTGATTATACTGGTTTAAATTGGGGTAATATCACAGAGGGGGAATCACAATTATAAAAACTCGTCGAATTGGGTAAACGAAGAAATTGAAATACTAGAATTGACCGACTTGGAGGAGGTGCTGGAAGTTGCGCATACCATCGAAACCACCGTCCAGAATGCAAACGCAACAGGTCGTCTTTTCCTCAACCAGACGTTTCGCAAACTAGAAAAAAAAAACATATAGAAAAATCGAAAGAAATTACCGCACTGGCCATCATATGCATGCCTCCATCCATAATGCAAATCGGATGTTTGTTTTCTTGGGCCGCGTTCAGCAGGTTCTAAACAATAATGTCCACAATGCAAAATATTTCTGACTTGAATATTCGATAGGTCTCCGACAGGATAATGAGGGAAGCTGATGCTTCGAATGACCGAGACTCGATTGTATCTAAATAATAATCAATGTAGAAATTGAAAAAAACGTACTCTGGTGCTGTGCGAATATCCAGCAACAATACTGCTTGCTTTTCGATGCGAGCAATCAAGTCTTCGCGGCTCATCCGAGGAGAGACACACTCGCGCAATTGAGCCGGGGTCAAATGCTGCATCGTGTGTTCTTTTACTAAAAAATGTTATAATAATCGAAATAGAACACCCCACCTGGTCCCTGGTTGTCCGAGCCGTGGAATCGAAAAGCACAACTTTTTGGGATATACGAATAGGCACGCACGGCTTCTTCAATCACCTAAAAATCTAATAGCATCCAAAGTTTTGCAGACCTTTTCCATATCTAAGAACGGTAAATCGGAGAACAGTAGGATAGCATCGTTAAAAGTTGCCTTTACGAGCCGACCTCGCAGTTGTGCAAAAATTCCGAGCCCTGCAAAAATAGATTCATTAAACTTCCGCTCACCAATGCAGAGGGGAAAATGGACATCACAAAGTAGAAGGCGATCCCAAACGTGGAAGAGTTTGTGTAGCGGAAGAACATGGGCAAAACAGGTCAGGAACCTGAACACAGAATCATTTCAAAAAAATGCCACTTACCATCTAATTGCATAGAGCTCGGGGAAGAACTGGATCCGCTGCATACAGAGCCACAGTTCCGCGTCGGTATAAGCGAGCAGCTTCTCGAATTGATGGAAATATTCTAAATTCAAAAAGTTTAGGATGTTTATTAATGAAGAAATACCTCCGATAACTTGGATGTTGTCGTGGATGAAGACATTGTGCATGTATTTGGTGATGAACGCGCTCATACACGCAAACGCTCTAGCTGCAAAAAAATGATAAACTAAACAGATTCCGCTTACGCATATCTTCAAAATACAACAGCAAGAAAGGCGCTGCAACAGAGTCGAGTCCCTGCCAATACACACATTCCGGATGGCCACGAAGATAGGCTTTGACAAGGCGTTTCAGTTTGGCTTGCGCAGTTGCTGAGGTCATCAGTTCTTCGTACTAAAGAAATTAATCGTTTTAGAACCTGGAAATACCTGATGGCATCTCGGGATATCAACTTCAAGCTGGCTATCAGATGGGTGACTGGAGAAAGTATCAAGGTCCTCGAACGTCCAAGTCGATGCTTCAGTAACATTCAATAGCGCAGCCCAGACTTTTGGTCTAAACTGCCCGATTCCTTCAAGGTTTCTATTATACCGAATCATGGGTGGAATGTCAGTGGCTACCAACTTCCGTAGTGCTTCCGCTTTAAAAGAAAAGGCGTCAACGAGCCTATTCCCGGCATTGATCCGCGTGCACTAAAAATGAAAAGTGAGGCAAGGTAAAAGGATACCTGATAGGTGAAGTCTTTTTCTTTCACAATGACAGGCAAATCCTCGCCTTCAGACGGAAAGTCATCACCGTCCAATTCGAAAGAATGCAGCATCAATCGAGGATTCAGCGACCGGAGCTTCTAAAAGCACATTTCAAATTCAAGGAAAATAATACCATTCGCAAATTGTTGCATGGAAGCTTGAATATAATCTTGTCAACATAGAAACGTCGGGGTCCCTCTCTTTCAAACAGATGAAACTCGTTAATAATGATACTAAAAAAGGAGCTTTTACAACTTTAAAGAACTAAACCTGGGAAGTGTGACGATCGGAGGATCAAGCTTGATAATTTCATTTCGGACAAGCAGAGACTCGACTTGACTGCCACAAAGCTTCCAAAGAAACCATGCTTCTTTAATTGGCAGCTCCCTCAAGATCCACTCTTCCGGGGCAAGCTTTGATATCGCTTCTAAAAAGATATTACGTGCTTATCCAGTACAGAAATACCCTTCATTTGTGACCACTCGTTAAAGCCATCATCTCCGGGTTTTGGCACGACGCCCTTTTCTTTCAAACATTCTAGTATTGCAGAAGCATCTGGTCGATGACGGGGTAGCTTTTGAAGGCATCGATCGGCGATTTTGAAAAGCAGAGATTCACCATCAACGTCCACTACAGCTGACGATGTCTCTTTTAGCCGCTGTAGCAAATTCTCAAACACACGCCCATCTAAAAAGAAAATAAATGAATCAATATTCTATCACCTTGGATTCGCAACACGTCAATCAGGATCGTCGCAAAAGTGTCTTCCGTGCAAAGTTCTTTCAAAGTGATGCCCTGCACAGTAAAGTTGGTTTGGAGCGAAAACTCACGATTAGCAGCTGTAAGCACACGATCCCAAGAGCCCAAACATCGCCATATTCGGTCGCACCTCTATACACTTCCTCGTCACTAAAAAAAAATTTTATAATTGGACCAAATATACATACACCATACGTTCCGGCGGTCGACAGTACTGATTTCCAGTCATTCGAGCTTGATCTTCTCCGTATCCAGTTATATAACTGAAGCACAATTTTGCTAAGACATTTTCCGCTCATTGCAGACATACCTGGTACCATATTGCGACAATCGGGCCAACCACTGCTCGTCATCAGAAGTCGTCAACTCAACCGTCGACACATCAACGAAACCAGAATAGATTTCTCTCGTGTGTAGGTAGTCAAGAGCCGCGGAAATTTGAGCCACCGTTTGCAATTTCTCATCGACCGTCAATCTAAATCAAGGAGTAAATAATGCAAAAATGGCTTGCTAACATGTTCAATTTGTCCGACAGATTATGCGCATAGTGCTCGCTGATCATCGCGACAATGCTTGGGGCTAAAAACAAATGGAAATTTGTAAAGGTACTGAAAATTACCTTCGCGACACCGAATAATCTCGAGGTATTGGCACAGATATGGGCTTTGCAGCGCGGCCAATCGCGGAAATCGGCCGACAGAGTTGACAGCCGGGGGAGGGATCTGGAAAAAACCTAATAGAAACTCGCTAAAAACTACCGAAAATCCATTTAGAGTTGTTGTTCTGCGCTCTGGTTCTTTGCAGACAACCGGATAGGCGCTGAAACCCGCATTTCCAAGGCAGCGCATCAGCTACCTAAAAACGGGTCGATCTTACAAAAGTATACCTAAAAATATAGAATGAAAAGGTTATATAAAGCCTGCAAAGCTGTTTGAAACGAGAAAAAGCCGAACGGATGCTTGAACCATTCTTTGCGGAGCTTGTTGTTGCTCGTACTGTTTGAGTTCGCGCACTAATGGCTATTCTTTTAGTATGTTTTTGCGAGCTCCTAATTACAAATTTCTTGCATATACAATGAAAAGCATATTTAACCCCAGGGCAGAAACATTTTTGTAGCTCTCAAATGTTGTTAGTAGTTTTCTACGAGCCCCTAATTCCAAATTTCTGAGATATATAGTTCAAAACATATTAAACCCCAAGGTAGACACATTTTTGTAGCTCTGAAAACTTTCACTTGCGCTTTTCACATCATTGCAACAACTTTAATTTATTCGGATAGATGATTTCGGGTAACAACAATGAAAAAAAAATAATATTTAAGGGCGAACACAATGATGAAGAAAGAACGTGTGGGGGCGATCAACAACTTGTTGCTAACAACGGGGATAACAACAAAAAGTTGGAAGAATATTAGTGGACAGAGTAGAAAAAATGGGATGGGGATGTTTTTTGGGGGCGACTAAACGGGATGAGCTGATTTTTCGGGGCGGATGTTGGTGCAATTCGCTAGACCCAGGATGAAACGAGTTGCACCAAATTTTAGGGCGAGGCAAGCGGAGATTATCCAAATTTCCGAAAGAATCCTATTTCAACACGGTTGTTTGTTTAATCTAGGATCCAGTCGGGCCAGTTATTTGTGGTTTTTATAATCCGCTGATCAAGTAGGCCGTAACAAAATGCTGCCGTAATGGAGGTACCAAAGGGGGGAATTAGAGCAGATCGGCGATATCCATCGGCATTTCATCAATGATGGTGTTGTAGAAGCTTTCAATGTCCTTCAGCTGGCGTGTGTCATTGTCGGTGACGAAGTTGATGGCAACTCCCTGAAAAGTCGTAGTTTTATATGATTTATTTAGTAGTATTTAAATTTATTTAGTGAAGAAAATCTAATTTCTAAAAAAGATATTTCTTACCTTGCGACCGAAACGTCCAGAACGACCGATACGATGGATGTAGTTTTCGCGGTTGGTCGGCAGATCGTAGTTGATGACCAAAGAAACCTAGAAATTATATAATAAATTATGTATACAAGTTTTTGCATTTTGTATTGATCAGTCTCGTTTTAAAATTTCACATCTACTGATCTGTTTTTGTAGATTTTGAAAATACCTGAAGAACGCAATATTCAATACTTTCTCACGACCATATTAGCATTTTTGCATAAATTTTCGCCCCTTCATTTCCCAGGATACGATACGCACCTGCTGGACATCAATACCACGGGCCAAAAGGTCGGTGGTGATCAGCACACGAGAAGATCCAGAGCGGAACTCGCGCATGATGCCCTCACGCTCCTGCTGCTCCATGTCTCCGTGCATCGACGAGACCGTGAACTGCTTCGACGTCATCTGCTCGGTCAGCTGGTCGACCCGACGGCGCGTGTTGCTGAAGATGACGGCCTGGGTGACGTTGATGGCGTCGTACAGGTCGCAGAGCGTCTCGAATTTGAACTCCTGAAAAAAACGTAAAAATTAGAAGATTGGGGGAATTCTTGGTAACTTCTGAATTAGGTACTGACATCCTTGCCGACATTGACGTAGAATTGTCGGATACCCTCAAGGGTAAGTTCCTCTTTCTTGACGAGAATCCTAATCGGATCCCTCATGAAACGCTGGGTGACGTCAAGCACATCAGCGGGCATAGTAGCCGACAGCAGAACAACCTGCACGTCCTGGGGCATGAACTTGAAGACCTCGTAGATCTGGTCCTTGAATCCCCGTGACAACATCTCGTCAGCCTCATCCAGCACGAACATCTTGATCCGATCTGTGTGCAGAATGCCACGGTTGATCATGTCGTTGACACGACCGGGGGTTCCGACAACGACGTGGACACCGGCTTCCAGCTTGCGCTGATCATCACGGATTGAGGTACCACCGATGCAAGCGTGCACGGAGATGTTCAAGTAGTCACCGAGGGCGCTCATGACTTTTTGGATCTGCTGGGCCAACTCGCGAGTGGGGGCCATGACCAGAGCTTGGACTTGGGGGTCCTTCTCGTCGATGCGCTGCAGGATGGAGATCGAGAACGTGGCCGTCTTGCCCGTACCCGACTGGGCTTGAGCGATCACGTCGCGACCTGGAAAAGTTGGGTTTTGGTATTGTTTTTGTTTATTTAAGTATATCTTAGATATCGATACAAATTTCATGTATCTTTTTGCAAAACAATATCATACCTGTGGTGCAGGGCACGATAGCGCGCTGCTGGATAGCAGACGGCTTCTCAAAACCGAAGGCGTAGATACCGCGAAGAAGGTTCTCCTTGAGGTTCATCGCGTCGAACGTTTCCGTGACCTACAAGGATTGTTACTACATATATCGTATGGTATCTTATCGCGACTAAAGATCTAAAAAAACTTTTAACTTACCGTGTCCCAGTTGCCCTCGATGAGGCCATCCTCGGAAAGACCGCCGGCTCCGCCGTTGCTTACATCGTTGTCCCTGCAAATTATTATCATAAAATCAAATATTCCGTGATGAAATCGATATTTAGTCTTACAACCTAATTTCTAAAGTTCTCAAAAACTGTCGTAGCTAATGTTGAAGCGATACGACAAGGGGTTTACAAAATTTAGCCAGTTAAAATAACTAGGAGCAATTTAAAAATTTTATAATTGGGTAAAAGAATGTGGCCTATAATTTTTCTTGATTTTCCGGGTTTTTGGGGGTATAGTAGCGTTGGGGACTTACTTGTTGTTGGCATCAGTCATGTCAAGCTATCAGAAATTGGAAAAGATTCCAAAGGGCGCAGAAAATTTATAGGTATTGGCTGACCACTCCTTGATTTGGAGGGTGAGAGGATAATGCTGTCCGTTCTGGCGGCAAAGTCCGGTAGGCCAGACTGCAGCGCGGCACGCGACGCCCCTGATCGTCAGGGAGTGCGGGATAGGGTCACGAATTTGGGCAGATGTATGTACTTGGCGGGCCCCAAGGGCTTTTGTAGGTAAGGAAAGGTCAATGTGGTAGGTCAGAGGCAGAAATTATGAAGGAGTTTGGATTGGTTCAAATAATGGGAGTTGTAAATATGACATAAGTTCGGCAAGGGAAAAGTAAATCTCCGGAATACTCGATAAAAGTCAAAAGAGTCCACTTTGGGCATGAAAAGTGCGATTGGATCATGGAAGGCATAACTCGATTTCTCAGTATTTTCAAGTATTCTGTATTACAAAACTCTATTCATTTTAATGGCCCCTGAGTAGGGAAGAAGCCATGACATTTTTCTATATCTTATAATTTGCATCCAAAGTTGTTCGGTTAGGGCTTAGCGGATATGATGGTATTAGATAATTACAGCAAAAACTATTAATATGCGTTAAGCAGTTTACTTTCTTGCAAATTGGCAGAAGTTTCGTTGCTTTAAGACCTTCTTAAGCTATTCAAATGTGGTTTGACGCTAGGGTTACGGTATTTTGTTGAGCTAGTATGGTCTAGAATTGTCATTTATTTACATAACACTGTAGAATCCTGGAATTTAGGAAGAACAACAACTATATAATAATACACTTCCGATTTATGCAAATTTTATCTCCTCGCTAGCGTGCGCGGGGTAAGAGCCAGAGATTGCAGCAAATTAGGAAAATCCAGGCCCTCACTAACGCTAATATGATATTTGATATATTTGCTATTTATTGTTTATTTTATCCCATCTAGGTACACCACTTAGGTCAAATTCTCTGCTCCTCAGGCATTTTCCCCCGTATCTGACTGGCTTGGCCCCTTCGAAACGGTCAAGGGGTATTCATTATTGGATTAAAACATAGAAAAAATTATGGCAATTTTGTATTTACAGCACCGTAAGGGCCTTGTTTAAATTCGGATTTCGGCTTTATGACAAAGATTTTATCTCCGTTATAGATGCGTGATACGCGTTATAGCCCGAATCCTCTGCTCCTCCGGCATTTTTCCCATCTCACTGCCCTTTGGCCTACTCGAAAAGGCATTTGTTAAGGGTTGGATGATGGTGGTGGTAGTGTTGGTGGTGGACGAGGCGGGCAATCATTCAAGAAGGAGGGGTGCACTGGACAAAGGAGAGGCTCTTCCACCAACCCCTTGGTCGAGGTTTGCAAGGGAGGGGAAATATACCCACGGACATAGAGACGTGGACACCGACACGCTACGAGAGAGTGCAAGGGGTGGTCAGATTGCGATAGAGGGGCCAGACAGTCCCGGGCACAGCACATCCACCCCGCACCGAGTGGGGCTACACGCGTTCATCGTAATATAACGGCCACGCTAATGGCCCTACAACATTGCTGCCCAGAGGCCCCGGATTTTGCCTCTGTGCCCGGGTTCACGGCTACGAAAGGCGACTTTGAACGTTTTTTTTGGCTGAAAGGTTATTGTTTGCAAGCTTGCAGCTGAAAAATCCTCTGATAGGCTACCTTGAACTCGGGCTTCTCGATTTATTCATTATTTATGAGCTTAAAGCGTCGTCTTTACGCAAATTTACACTTTGCCTTCGGTTACCACAATTTAAATAAAATTTTATTGTATTAGAATTCTATATTATTCCTATAACTACCCTGAAAAAGCAGCTATCGGTTTATTAAAACATTTCAAAAAAATTTAAAATATGATTCTTTATGAAAATTAACTCTTCACTTCCCACGATTTAAATTTACATTTGTTTTTAGAATATGATATTATTCCTCTAACTACTCAAAAACGTCTTTCTCGCTTTATCAGTGCATTTTAGAAAAGTTAAGGCATCATCTTTAGGCATATCAGCTCATTAACGCCAGCTATAACGATCTAGATTTATGGTTCCTGGTTCAGCATTTTTTATTATTTTTTAACCACGCTGAAGCCTTTTTCGATCTAATAAATTATCATGCAAAAAACTTAAAATATTGTTTACACAAATTAAACATCTTAATGCCAGCTGCATAGCTTTCAGTTTTATATTTTATTTCCCAGAATATTGCATTACACACTGTGAACCCTTGTTACTCATCAATCGCTGACTCAGCGTATCGAAAAACAACCCCAAGACCAATTCCCGTTCTCAAACAACTCTCATTCATTATTTTATTGATCTTAAAAATTCGAATCAAATTCACGAAATTTTAGAATGCCGGAACCCGGCCATTCCGGACAAAACGGCCACTCCGAACCTCACGCCGTCCTCGCCTGCGCAAAATTTGCATTCAATGGCAAGAATAATGATGAGGTTGGTAAAATTCAATTATAAATATGTTTTTCAGTTGACCTTCTCCAAAAATGACATCATTATGATCACCCAGCAAATGGAGGGCGGCTGGTGGGAGGTAAACCCGAAGCGTCAGGAAAAAAACACGTTTTTTTAGGGTACTTTAAATGGTATGACCGGTTGGTTTCCGTCAGACTACGTGAGTGTACTTTCGGAAAAAGGCAAGTAATGAAATAAAGAATATAAACCAATAGTTTTAGAAAAATTGGCCCGTTCCCGGTCAGTGCCTAACAACGATGCAATGGACGAATGTGCCCAACAACCGCATTTGGAAAATTTCCAACCTTCGACTGACGCGAAAGCAGAGTTTAGGAAGCAGGTAAAACTTTAGTATCGAAATTGAATACCTTAGGGTCAGGTTCTCCAAGACTTTCTCAAAAATGAGCAAGATTATCTGCTGAACCTGCGAAAAACAGTTGACGAATATATGAAGCCAATGAGGCAGGCCGAGATGTAAGTCGAATTCCATTTTTTTTTATGAATTCTGTTAAGTATGCCAAGCGAAGATTACGACACACTCTGTGGGAACATTGAGCAGATTTTGATTTTCCAGACGGATGTGATGCACAAGATTAATTTGACACTAGAGTAACTGGATTCTTAATTTTGGAACAAGTTTTTCAGAGATGATGTTCCAAAGCAGCGACTTGGAGGCGTTTTGATAGCTTCCGCTCCTGCTCTTCGTGATATGCTGATGGCATACTGTGAGAACCATCCACGCGCCGTAGAAGTTATCAGCGAGAAAGAGTAAGTTATGCTCAATCGTGATACATATGTTGATGTTTTGTTTTAGTGGTGCTCTCCGAGTTTTCGTCGACACGATTCGAGGTACCATGAAGGAGCTGATAACGGGATTATCCGAGCCATTCCTCCACTTGGGAAAATACCCAATTGCGTTACAAGAATTGGAGCGTAGTATGCCGGTACGTTACTAGACTTTAGCCATGCATTATCGTAATTTTAGGACTTCCATATTGATCGTGGAGACGTCCAAAGGTCATGCGCGGTGTATAAAGAAATGAAGGTAAGGCTAAATCATTCAAATTAAGGTTTTTATAACTTTTCAGTACGAATGCGACGGCATGCGAAAACAAAAAGAGATGCAACTCGAATTCTTGGCTGCTGGTCAAATCGAGGAGTGGGCCAGCTTCCAGGAGCGTGGAAGGATTAAGCATCTCGCGCTGGTGGATGTCGAGAGACTTGGCTCGGACCCGAATCCCAGGTATCGAAAAACTACTAGATTCAGTCTTTTGTGCTCCAGATTCGTTGCGCTCTTCACAAACTTGATGTTGATTTTGGAAGTGACTGCCGAGCAGAATGTGTACAAGTTGTTGGAAAAGATTAGCATGGAGGGACAGAGGGTTCGAAAAGTTGAGGGACGTCATGGAGTGGCTTTGGGGAATGGTAAGTCAGTTAAATGATAATAGTCTGAAGCAAAGGAACACTTATTTGATTTTTGGTATACTGTAAGGACCTGCCTGTTACAGACAACCCTATCATCCTGACATCCGCGACACAATTCGAAGTTGAACGTTGGCTGACGGCTTTCGCGCAGCTGCCCGGTGTTGTTGTGGAAGAAGCTTCAACCTCATTTGCCATAAGCCCCTCTCAGCGCTACAATGTTCAAAACATCGTAAGTTATTTAAAATTTATTGTTATACTTTTTAAATTCCGGAATGCAAGCTTAGTTCCTCCTAGACTATTTTAAATTGCAACAACCATATTTATCGACGAGTATTGGCCAAAGTGGTGGGTGAAAATGTGTGTCCTGGGGGACCCGGGACACTCCCCGTTAGGGCCAAAAGGAAGGCCGGGGACCTGTTTGCCCCGCGGATCGGCCCCGGATACGGCTTGCGCAGGGGGCACCGCCCCACCGGAGGTATCCACTCCATATTCACACCTTATGCCGCTTTTTATATATAGCTTACTTTAGCTTTTTCTTTATGAATCCTCTGATCCCTAATCTATTACCTTCTATGGGTATAGATGATCACGCAATTGGGCTTTAGAACCCGAATTCTATAGAACCAGTTTCCAACTAGACAACACCAAACCGGTACCAAATTTGCGTTATTATTAGAAATCCGCCGCTGCTTGCGTTATAATCCCCCCACTAACGTGCTACACCCATTAGCGCAACCGGTTTTGGTCGGCCCTGGCAGGTCCGAGGGATCGGGAGTAGCGTATGCTAGGAAATCCATTATTTTAAGTTGTTTCTAGAGCTTTTGAAAATCATGTTGGGCTGTGAAAATAACATCTAAAAATTTGTGAAAGACTTTTTCTGTTTTTTTTTCTTTAAATCATTTACCTTCAAAAAACGGATTGACGAAAATGAAAATGATGTTGTCGTTTGATGAAAGCGAAATTTGCAAAATCGGTTCCGGAACGTATTTGGAATTGGCCGTTTAAAATTGTTCTAAATCAAGGTTAACAAATTTATATTTTAGCTTCTTAAAACACCAAAAAGATGCTGATTTAATTCAGAAGCTGCTCTAAAAAATTAGATTAAGCTATTTAATTCGACGGGCTAATCTGCCCCTCACGTTCTGGCGTTTCTCCCTAAGATTGCTCGGCTATCTACAATCAGAACAGCTTCTGGAACGCTTAAAGCCATCGACCTGTCTGCGGTGTTTACCTCCAGCACCTTCAGGCTGACTTTCAAGGACAGTTGACCATATATAGCAGGGGGGACGCAAACTATACGACACCTCCCAGATGCGTACACGGGGAGGGGGAGGATCGGGAGTGTCAAAAGCGCCGCCGCGGCTGAATGAATGAATAATCCGATGGTTTTGGAAGGGCAACGAGTGGCTGGTTGGAACGGGGGGAGGAGTAGGAGGAGTAGGAGGCGACAGACCGTTTCGACCTCCACAATCACTTTTCGGGGGCACTTTGGTCCGATGGGGGGGGTGGTCCTCGCGCCCGTGCTCACATTTCACGCATTGTCCTGGAGCCAGATGGTGGTGGTCGGCCGGGTCCAAGCGCGCTCCGCCAGTCAATTTCCCACACTATTCCGGCTGTCGATGAGGGGGCTCTCTCTCGATTGAAAGCTGACACTACAATTTAAGGGTCGAGACCATTAATCGTGGGGGAGGAGGGGGTATGCTTATGCATCCGCTTGTTCGGGGGTCTTGGGAGGGACATTTTACGGCTTTAGCTGAATTTCCGGCAAAGGAGGTCGTCGTTTTTCTGAAGGCCTTCATTTTTTTGCATTTTGAGATGCTAACGTATCCTTTTTTTTTGCTTTTGTATATTTCTGTTTACTATCTCCGCCAATCTATCATCTTTGAATTTTCGTAGATTGCGTGGTTTTATTAAAATATGACTAAGTATTTTGTTATAGACCCATTAGCTAGTATCGTAAATTATAACTTGCTTTTTTTAACTATTTTTTATGCAAACTCGATACGCAAATTTTTGAATCTTGATCTCATTTTTCAAAAGATTTTCTAAAAACCACTCGTACAACCATTAAAAAACTTGAAAAGTAAACCTCCTATATAATTCCCATCAGTTTTGATATTTTTTGGACATCCAAATTTTTAAATTTTGGATTAACCATCTTTGTTATTACTCATTGCTCGACATAAATGTCCAAAAACGCTTCAAGCCTCGTAAGACATCTAAAACCCTGAAATAGAATTTCTGATCGGATAATTTATGAAATTTAATATTCAATATGTTCGATCAATCAATTCAATATTTTGAACCTTCAGTGTCCATCAACGTTTAGATTTTTTTGAGTTAGAATGTCTAAAAACAGTTGAAACGCCGCGCAACCATTTAACAAGCCTGAAATCCAACTTACGATGATATTCCCATCATTTATGATATTCGGACGTACAGGGCTAGAGGTGTGCGAGTGTCCCGTCCCCCTTCTTCTTCTTCCCCCCGTCCCTCCAGAAAGCCCATCCCGACGAGAGCAAACAAGATGTGTGCCACGGCTTTTATGATTCTCCTTCCATCCACCAAAAGACTTTATGTTTTGTTTCCGTTTCATCTTTTTGGGGGGCACCGTGAGTGCCGCTGGCCAATCCCGACCAAGCCGTTAGCACGACTGGCTTCTTCTCCCCTCTTCCGGACCAAATTTGATTTCCAACCCTTGGCTTCGCCCAAAAAAGTTGTCTGATTTATAAGTCTGGATTCGCAGTGATGCTCTCAAGTTGTTCTGGTCTCGTGGGAAAGCGGTTTTCCTTAGAATGAATCGATTCTCATTCGCGTCGGGTTCATCGGATTCGGAGTGTTGCTCGAGCCCCTGTTGTTCTTCGTGTCTGCCCACATTTGCCACACCTTCTACGTCAAATAATGAAATATGGCCTAAATATCCGACGATAGCAAGTTTTTACAAAATTCAAAAGTTTTAAGGAGGAATTTAAAGCAATAAAGGAAGGGGTATTAACTGGTATTGCATAGACCGAATAAATCTATTTTTTTCAGTCCTCCATCTCCCCTCCACGACAACCTGAAATAACTTCCGCACCAGCTCCTGAATATGCTAGAATAGCCAAAAAACCATCGTAAGTGGTCCTAAACATTTTTAGTGTTTTTATTCAGCTACGGTATCAACGAAATCAAACTCAACCATGAGTTGGAAATGGTGGTTCCGGAAGGAGATGACGAAGAACCCAGATATCAAAAAGAGCCTGCACGACAGCAAAATGGGTACAGGTAATTGACCTAATACAAAGCAATACCTTTTAGTGGTACTTGTCTCAGGCCGTATCCACCGGTTCGCGGACCGTCATATGCTGTCAATTATGGGAAAAAGCCGGTGAAGATGAGGAATAAGGATGGTTTGGGAAATTTTAGAACATTCCGATTTCACGAATTTAGTGCACTCGCAAAGTAACGAGGATGCTGTATTGCTGCGGATTGTTGAGGGATATTGGCAAAGCGGACGTTCCGCGCCGGCCACCTACGATCAGGCACCGCAATTGATCGTTGCTGAAGACGAGAAGATTTTGGTTGAAGAAATGGTTGATGGGCAGTTGGTGTTTCAGGAAAAGTCAGTCTTTCTAACAAAACTTCATGTTAGATATTTTTTTAGAAGTTTGGTCGACACCGTTTACGCACTAAAAGATCAAGTGAACAGTCTTCAGCAGGTATTTCAGAAACAAAGTATAAAACAAAATTTTTAGAAAATGGAGCAACTAATGACCACCGTAGAAAAAGAACAACGAGCTCGTCGCCGAATGGAAGAAACCTGGCGTCGTGGTAGTGAAAACTGGAATTCAAACCTCAATACCACCCCCAAAACCGATACCTCCTATCTATCGGAATCACAAATGCAGGCGTAATTCCTTCTTCTAAATTATATCTATTTATTAAATAGCCAACGAATAGTGTCTTATAGCCCGCCAGGATCCCCTGGTTCCAAAGATTTGGCTTACCGGTCAAGATCACTACTTATTGTCTAGCAGCTCGAATGTGCTATTTCGATATTTTTCCTTAAGTTGATCACATGCATTTCGATTCTATGCATTCGTTCCAAAAGACTCTGTGCCTTTCCCATGCCCTCTTATTAACAAAGCATTCATATATTCGGCTGTGATTGTAGTTTGCTCAATCGTTCGATCCAAACAATTTTTGGTGTTTTTCGTGTGCATAAAAGTCGTGCAAAAATGGGCAGGGTCAGACTCCAGCGGAGACACTGATGCCATTCGTACTTGCGTACGAGAAGTAGCTACAAGGCGACAAATGGTGGTTAAAGAAAAACAAATCGAGGACTATAGTTCTTGGAAGGGTTGGGGTCTATCCTGCAAATTGCGGCTATTGTTGGGTGAAGGGGGTTGGAGGGGGAAGTTCTAGAGAGTCGGCTAGATGGCTGGGATCGGAGTCGTGTCTTTGGTCTGCACTTCTTCTCCAGACTAACTTTGAATCATTTTGGCTTCTATTCTTGGTTTTGTGTATTTTTGGGAGCTTTTCCAACTAGATAATAGAACGAACGACAAAAATGGCTTTTTCTGCACACAATACACTTAATATCGTTAATCATTATCCGGGAGATCGGAACTTTTCAAGCATTTCTGTTTGTTTTCGTGGTAATGTACGTATTTTAGGTGCTAGCTCACTGCGGCTAATCGATTATACATAAAAATAGTCTAGATTTTCGTTGGATTTACAAACAGGATTTACGATTTAAGTTGCTTAATCCCTGGAAGTGTCTACGAGTGTGTATGCCGTTTCATCTTTGTTCTCTCAAGCATATTATTGAATTTTCAGGCTTTATTCTTCAAGAAAAAAATTTCCACATATCAGTAAGAGCTGGGCTTCATCCAATTGTCGCCCAACATTACGTTCCTCCAGACCAATAACCAAAAACCCTACTTGCAACAAAACCCGAATCGGATTATTTCGTTACAGACCTATCTACATCATCTTACATCCCTATCACTAATACCTTCAGCCTGGAGACACATTCCCCAAAATCTGAGATGTGTGACTGGGCGGTGGTGATGAGCGAGGGCAGACGTCGGGGGAAGGCCCTTGGCTTGGCCCACACAGCATCGTCCCACCCGAAGCTGCTTCTCCCCCGCCTGCTCCTCCCCGTCCACTTCCCCCGGGAATTCCGACGGCTCGCTCTCCTCGTGCTACGAAACCCTCGCATGCCACCAGCAACCCCCTTCCCCCATCCAAAGAGATATTTTTGCTTCGAAGCCCGGGGCAGCATCGATCTCGAGTGCTCCTTCGGATCGACCAAAATGTTTCGGGCTCCTCTTGTTTCTTCTTGTTGAGAGGGGGGTGGGGTAACCCGCCCTCCGTCACGGATGGGGAGTGGCCACTTCTGGTCAACTCGACTTTTTCGTCTTGTCAGATAGGGAGGGTTGGGCCATTAGCCAAGAGTTCTTATTCGTAGTAGTTGGTTTTGTAACTATATATGAATGCTATTTGCCGGCTACAATATTCATGTTTTGCTTTTTTATGGTAGTTAGACGTTTGCTATCGGAATATTTCTAAAAATCACACCAAAAAACTAAAAAACTATATTTTAAGCATCTTCTTAAACGATCAAAAAGATAAAAATATTATTTCCGGGTTTTGTAAAGTATAATAGATACCGTCCAAAATTTCACAAAAGTTTGCGCACTTTTGACGCTATCCAAAGTATATATAAATACCAATAGACATCCACATATCTCCTTAATTCTGTGTTTTTCTATTACCAATTTTTACTCATTAAAAAAGATAATTGCAGACCGCTGTCACCCAGCCGTAGTACCATCAGCCAAGACGATTGCCGGCAAGTTCAAGAGAACCGATGTCTCCCACTAAAAACGGTGGGAAGACAGGCATTAGCTAGAAAACCAGAGGTATCACTACCCCTGTTACCGCAATATACCCTTATAAATAATAGATGATCATACGGTACCCCTCCAGCCATTTCGAGTTTCGGTTGTTGGTACGGTGGCTGGTCTCGCTGTTGCTCTTCATCAGCTCCGTCGACGCAAATACCCGAAAGACTCACCCTATCGAGTTGACGATCAATTCCGGCAGTATCAGAGGGGAGAATTTGGTAAGAAAGCTCAATTCCTGCCTTAAGATACCTTTTAGAAAATCGGCGGCACCGACTACGCGATTTTTAAGGGGATCCCATACGCGGCACCTCCAGTCGGCGCCCTTCGCTTTGCGGTTGTTTACGGCTCCCGGGTTGATTTATTCTATTTTTGCAGAAGCCCCAGCCGCCGGCAATATGGAGGGGTGTGATGAATGCGACGCAGTATTCGGCAATGTGCGTACAGAGGACAGAAGGTCGACCGACAGATCCGGAACGGTAAGTTAAAGCGCACGCTCCGGAAGAGGCCGTGTACTCGTCCCAACGTGTACACCCTATGGACGTAGCGACCGCGCGCACTGCCGGCCCTTGCCGTGGCAGGCAATTCCCCTCCTTTGCGGCGTGGGGCGCCCCTCACCCCCTCGCCAGGTTGTAGCTTTGGCTGACTGGTATCCATCCGCGCCTCCCGAGCGGGGGACCGGGTTCGACCCCCGGCCGCGGCAAAAAGCTTTGCTTTTCCGGCCGGCCGCGGCAAAAAGCGTCCCTGAACGTGCCCTTTAAGTAGTGGGGCGAAAACGGAAATTTTCGATAGCGCTTAATTGGAAATCAGGAACATGTTAATAACACAAAATAAGGGACTAGGAAAAGGAAATCAGGAAACCCCATCTCACTTTCCTATAATGGTTTTTAGTTTCATTTTTAAAATTTGCATAATGCGCTTTGTTCCGCCTTGTATAGGTTCACTCTCTACGCAATTTTTTTGTGGCATATCCGCGTATCAGTTGTCGATGAAGACTTTTTTTCATAGATCTTCCCTATCACTTTAAAAATTAGCTAGAGATAAGCGCGAAGATAATACACCGTATATTTTGGTAGTAAGGCATAGCCTACTTAACAATACGCTTACAGTCACACCGCCCATTTCTCCGAAGATTGCCTCTACCTCAACGTTTATGCTCCAACACAAGTAAGCGACTAACATACACCGGATACCTTAACCACTTTCAGTTCACCAACGATACATATCCTGTGATAGTTTTTCTCCACGGTGGCAATTTCCAGAGCGGTGGTGGCAACGATTACTCACAACAGGTAATGTTCCTTAATTTTCAAAGTAAAAATCTTATTTTCAGGCGATTTTGGAGAATTTTGTTAGCCGGAAGATTGTTTTTGTAACTCTCAATTATCGATTAGGTCCATTTGGTGAGTTGGTCTTTATTTTTCCGGGGGGATGTGGGTATTCTGAAGATAGAAGAAGAAGGGGGCGGTGTGCGGTCTTGGGGAGGGCAGGGATGGGAGGAAGAGGATAATGGCCCGTTGGTATGACGGATGTCGGCTTGTTTCGACCCGCAGCGGTGACGGCCTCCCCGGGGGACCCTCTTGTCCGGACACTATCACACAAAAAAGAACTCGCAATATCTCGTCGGGAATTGCCTCGAAAACGGTCCATTTGTTTTGGAAGGGATAGGGTGGGTGGGTTGGAAAGTTGGGAAATTGCAACTTTTGGGTTAAAACCGGAGGGATAACCGGAAGCTTCCGGAATTACCATGCATTAATAGAATCTAACGATGTTGATAAAATCGTGAAATTATACTGTTAACAATGGTCTGTAATTTGCATAATTCTGCTCCAATAGAAAGACCGCCCAATAACATTTTCATAAGCGACTTCCACTTACGGAATATGCTAATTGTTACCTAACCAAGCGACTGGTTGAACAAAAACTTCTTTTAATGTTGAACACAGCAATTTTTTAAAAATATACAAATTCGGCGATCTTCCCGAGGAAATCACGCATCTAATGACCTACTCTACCTACCTAAAATCCAATCTCTAAGCCGATATCCGCCCGTTACTCTGCCGAAAGTGGTATATAAGGTGTCACCCCATATTTATATTTTTGAGATATAATATAATTAAATTAAAGCAGCAATATAATTAAAATAGCGTAGTAAAAAACTACTAGAAATAGATTCCTGGCAATAATTTGTCTAGGTTTTATTGCAACGGGTGAAAGCCTCGTGCCGGGCAACTTGGGACTCCACGACCAAATATTGGCACTAAAATGGGTAAAGGTAAGTGAAGCCTGAACAACTATAGAAATATCACCTTTTTAGCAAAACGCAGCTGTATTTGGTGGTGATCCGGACAATGTGTTGCTGATGGGTGAGGGGAGCGGGGCTTCTTCCGCGTCCATACTCGCATTGTCGCCTCAGGCTGAAGGTGGGGATTCACCTATGATTGAATACCGGGTGACTCTAAAAAGTGTTGAAGTAAAGAAGCTCGGATCGGGCTGATTTTGCATAGCCTTTGAAAGCCCTGAAAAAACGAAGTAAGTGGTTTTAAGTTCTTAGATCATTTAGCATTTTCTTGGTATAAAGCTTCTGCCTCGATAAAATTTTTTTTGGGAGTGAAGACCGTAATTATCATGCGGATTTTGCATAAATAAACTTTTGCGCGTTAATTTACTTTATTTTGAACCCGAAAATAGCTTAATCTCGTTGTATTCACCTTATATTTTCTTATTCTTCTCCGTTTGGAGAGTTTTCCATATATAAGCCCATATTTCCATTACCTAAATCGTTGAAATCGGAAAACGTTTGAAATTGAAACGCTAAAAGCGGTTACTGTTTCAGATATCCTCTAGGTATGTTACTCTTCTATCTACAATTAGTGCGCTGGTTTAATAGAGCGATTTCTCATTTCCAGTATTTTGTCTTCTCTCTCTTGTCCCATTTCTTGATCACCACAAATCCATTTTTTTTTTTAATTTCAACGACCTCCTCCTCCTGCTCCTCGCCCTCCTCCTCCTCCTCCTCCTCACCAACTTCCCTAGCCACTCCAAAGATTTCTTGTGGAGTGTACGAATGATAGTGGGCCACGCCGGCCAGAAAGGGTGGATGCCTTGAGTGGAAGGGGAGATCTTTTATGGGCCCCCAATTTGGGAGCATTGTGGGTAGAAGCCGGGGGGAAGCGGTCGCGTGCCATCCCCCGGATGTATCCCCTCATCCTCCTCGAAACAACCCCCCCCCCCCCCGCCCCATGCTCCACGCACGCTGTGGCGGCCCATCGCGGGATGAGGGTCCGGCATGGGTCAAAAGTCGAAAAAAATTACCCGGGTTTTGGGCTTTATAAGGGACACCCAACGGCTCGCTGCTATCGACAAAAAAATTACTAGACCAAAACTTAGAGGGCTTATAACTTTAAAAATCGAGTAAACCTTAGAAGCCGGCTTCTAAGGTTGTAGAACATAACGAGGCCATTCTAATTGCACATTTTAAAGCGTTTAATGAAATTTGCAGGCCTTTTCCACCGGATACTTCTCCTCTCCGGCACGGCTGTATCTCCTGGTGTCGTCCGCGACACTGCAGTCAAAGCTACTGAAGAGCTCGACAAGAAGCTTCAATGCCGGTTAGGCTTTATCTGGCATTAGAATTTAATCAGGATTTTCTTCCATTTTGTGCAATTTAATTATGAAAATCCAATTTCAAAACAACTACTTCTAAAACCCCCAAAAACCTTTCAGAGAAAAAGATCCAGAAGACCCGACCAGGTTCAAGTAAGAAAAAAATATAACAATAATAGTTTCACATTTAACCTCTAATTTCTTTGGTGAATTGTGTAACGTGTTAATCCGGTGGCTTTTCATTATCTATTTTGGCACAAGAAAAATGAGTTTAGATCCTTCAACGCTTCCGAATTGCTGGAGTGCTGGCGGAAGCGCACGAAAGAGGAGATCCTAAACGCCGATGTGAGTTGAACCTTGAAAGGGTAATTTTATGGATTTAGGAACAATACTACGACGATTACGAAGAGTTTGTTCCGGTCGTTGATGGAGCGGGCGGGATAATCCCGGTAGGAGGATTTGAAAAGTTTGTGATATTGATTTCTAGGAGGCACCTGAGCTGTTAGCAACTTACCGCAAAAAGATCCCGATGATGCTGGGCACCACCAAGGATGAGAGTTCGCTACGAATAAGTAATACTGCTATTAAAGTATGAATTTATTGAATTATAGTCATTTTGAACGAGAAGAGAGTGAATTTCACCGCTCTGACAACAGAAGTGGCGGAGAAATTGGCTGATAATTTGACCACTGGTTATCATCAACTTCAAAATCATGGTCTTGTGGCAAATGTAAGTAATCTAGGATTAATATTTCAAAGATGATGTAGTTTTAAAATTCAATAAAGATAGTCTAGAAACACTAGAATTAAGTGAACTGAAAAGCCGATTTTAGGGGTGCAAGCAAGAATACATCTGGACCAAGGTCGACCCGAGCGTTGACAGCGAAGTCCTGTTCAATTCGGTGCTTAAGGTGGGCTTATAATACCTATCTTAAAATATACAACATATTTTCCAGATGTTCTCCCATTTCTGGTACGACGCCCCGGCTGCCAGAATTGCTGGAGAGTACGTAAAAGCCCAAGAGCCCGTGTACCTCTACTCGTTCGATCATATTTCCGAGAATTTCTATGATCACGACCGTAAGGCATTTTTATTGCACTTGTATAATACAAAATCAGGCGCATTCCATGGGGTTGACATCATCCACCTTTTCAATATGCAACCCCGATTCTTGAATCGTCGCAAAGATATGAACTGGCAGCTCGACCAGAGGGTCATCGACATTTTCTCGGAGCTGATCTCAAATTTCGCCAGATTTGGGTAGCAATACAAAAATCCTTTACTTAATTAAACCTATTTTTCAGGAACCCAACCCCCGAGAATTCCGGGTTTAGCTTTAATTGGACTCAGGTTGACACCGAGGAGATGAACTACCTCTCCATTACGGATACACCAAGCATGGAGGTGGGTTTTTTGGAGGATACCTTAGAGTTACCACCAAATAGGTTGGGTATCGGTGGAGTGGGCATATGTTCTGGAACATATACGCTCGAACGCTTGATGCCGTTGATATTGGCAATATGAAGCAGATTGCGACGCTGGAGAAGAAGCTGGCCGATTTTCAGGTGCTAATTGGTTCTTCCTAAACTTTAAAATGCGTGAAAGCGTAAAAACCTACTAAAAATTAAATTTAGTTGGCCACTTGGATGCTTCTCTGCTGTTCCGGTTTCTTCTTCACAATTCTTGTCGGATTAGCGTGCTACTGTACCCGAAAAGAATCCGATGACGATGATATATGACACCAACGGGACAGCCAGGAAAAGCTGCTCGGCACCGCTCATTTATAACTTCTACCTACTTTTATCTAATACTATTACCTTATTTTTTTATATTTCTCTTTCCCGACCAACTGAGCCGTCTATCCTGGTCGTCCCTATACCAAACAATTACCACCAAGCCCTTATTTTTGTCTTTCTTTAGCATTTATAATTTTAATTTTATACATAGATGAATTCGTGCGTTTTACACTTTGATTTCTTTATATGTATTGCTCATCGTAGTTGTCTTCTACTGGCTTACTTCGAGAACTCCATTCTAAACCTTTCCTATGCTCACAACGTTTCCACTGCTTGAACTCCCTGTCCACTGCCAGAATGACCGTATTCTCTTCTTCTAATGAATTTATTTTGAGCCAATGCCAAACGCAGAATTCATTAAGCAATGCCTCTTTCGGTGGCTATAACCAAAGAAAATACACAGAAATTGAGAACATAGAAAAATCATAGACATGACCCGCATTAGCTGATGACAAATTCCAAAAATAATGAATGGATGCGCAATACATACAATAAATTAACTTAAATCCAGGGTTATTATTCCATGTAAGCGCGCGTGTAAGCGTCGGCAAACGGGTCACCGAGTAGACCGGTCGAGTCGAGTTTTCCGGCGATCTCCGTTGCAGATTGGGCTGAAATATTATATTATCTAAAGATCTTAATGAAACAAGTAGTCAAAAAATAAGCCAATTTTTAAAAATACCGATCGTGAAGTCTCCGTGAGTAGCCAATTCACGAATTGTCGCAGAATGGCCGACCATCATGGTTAAGAACTAAATTAATTCGATATAATATTTCAGCTCATACAAGAACTTACCTCTCGATCATTCACCAGCCGCTTGCACAGCTCAAGAGCGCCGTTGAGAAATGCTAGGTCACCATCAGCGTATTCTTTGGCAAACGCGATCGGGTTCATCCCGGGATTCCTAATTACTGTGTGGACCGACAACCCTTGAATTACCTGAATTTGGCAAAGATCGCCTCATGGACATTGACGCTTCGGTCCATCAAAACAATGTAGAGGCGATAAACGTAGAGGACGAGCTCGACTCGCGTCTCCCGAAGATAAGGCTGTAAGAAAAGGGGATTGATCCGCGGAAAAAAACCCTTGTTTACCTCGGTTGGGTACCGATGCAGATCCATTGTGTGATGCAAAATATTCAGCAATTCTTCTGGCCAACCGAGCACTCCGGCACCAATCATCAGACCGATCAGCTGAAGAAACTCTCTTCGAATTTCACGAACAATACCATACCCGAATAATGCGCCGCTTCGTGGTCAAGTAGCACCTTTCAAGCTCCTCACGTTCGACGTTGGTTTTCTAAACGAAGTGTTACGAGCTAAAGCATTTCTGCTTACCGCTTCTGCTGGATCTTTCCCGTACGTTTGTCGGTTCAACAGTCGCGTCAAGGTTTGCGCAAGTTCAGGCTACAATCTGGTTCGTGGCCCAGCAAATTTGATTTACCCTGCGCATAACGTTGAGTATCTTCGCCTTGACTTCTTCGCTGCAGCTGCTGTGGACCAAGAATAGGTTGCAAAGAGTGCCGATTATACTGTCCATCATATCGCTGCATGCAATACTAAGGAAGTTATGTTTGTGTAACAAAACCAGAAATCCTTACGTTCCAGTCTCAATCTTCTGCGCATACGTTCGAAGCCAGCCCCCTTCAGCTCCGATTAGGGTAAGTAAGAAGCCGCTGTTCAGAACACTGAGCTAAAAACTCAGAAATAGATTTGGTTTAATCGTTTTCACAGAAAAGCTGGGCTGCAACCACTAACCTTATTTGCTTTTGCCTTCTCCGCAGATCCCGGCGCACCGGATTTTGCCATCGCATTCATCAAAAAGGCGAGCGTGTCATTCTGGGCATGCTCGTTGTTCAGCAGACTCGTGTCCTCGAACGCCTTCGGAATCTGAAGCAAACTATTAACAACAAAAAGTGCTGACTTACCCCCTTTAGACAGCTCTCCAGATCCATACGTTCTAATACGTTTGTCGTGGCGATCCTGCTAATAATCCACATTCCGCAGGCGTACACATCACCGCCTAGTTGCACGATTCGTTGAATTCCCCTCTTAAGAAAAGGAAATTTGAGCTGTTTATAGCAGAAGGTACGTACCTCAACGAAGCCGATTTCCACTAAAGCCCGCGTGATTTCCGAACCATCGGAACTTTGTTCCAGTAGTTTCTTTAATATTCTCAACAAGGAGTGCACATATTTCGTTTCCTTCTTCACACAGTCGTGATTAGTGCGAAAATTCTGAACAAATTCTGAATCAGTCAATGTGCCTTACCACGAAAGCACTTTCATCCAATACAAAGTTGGCAATACGAATATACAGACGTTCGCGGTTGATCTCATCCGCCTAGAAATATTCAATTTTAGCAATTTGCCTTTGCGGTTACCATCGGTCTATTCCTGGAAAGCAGCTGACTAATGAAGGAAAGATTGTTGTAGACAACAAGAAGATGCTGTTGCGTAACAACTTTACGACAAACGGCGGCGCCAAATCCCGGAGAACGTCTCATGATTGCGATCAGGTATTTATTCACCTAGATATGGGTGTAACTTGAAAAACAAGTTGACCAACCTCGTTCGTCCCTAGGGAGATCATGTTCAGAATGCTGAGCGCGCACAGATTATCCCTATAAACAAAACCAAAGTATTATAGTATATCTAAACGTACGCTAAGCCCATCAACCACTGCATGCGCTTTTGATCTTGGTAAAGGATCATGAGGATCGCTTCCTGTGGTTGGCCTGCTTTCATCAGTTTATCCAGAAACCATAGGAAGGGCTCGGCGAACTGGAAACAAAATGATATTTACAAATTAACCCTGATTTCGTACCTCTGGTCCAGCAGCACGTGGCCGGTCAATCAACAACGCATAAGTTTCCTTCACCAATTGGCCGCAGCACAGAAATTCAGGTCTCGTCAGCAGGGCTAACATTTTCTTCCAAAAGTTTTCATCTCGAATCAAGTGTGGAAGGCGCTGAAATGCTCGTAAACCGCAAAAACCCTTGTGATCCTCTAATTATGATAAAATGTCAAAGCTTACCGGTCCTAGGAGTTCCTTTTTGATTAGTTCGGCTTCTTGCCAGACTCTTTGTTGGGTCACCGGGTCGACATTTTCGCTCGGTGACGGCTGGGCGGCATGACTTGTTTGTGGAACGTAGGACGGGACCTAAAAACAAGGAAATGTAAAAGGATTTGGTATATTATTACAAATCAAAATAACAATAACTTACATGTATATGAGGAGCGAGGGCGCGTATTTGTTCAGGGAGTTGGCTGTAGTTGGTTTGGTAGGAAATCGTTGACATATTCATATCCGAGCGATGGGAGATTACCGATGCAGCCTAAATGGATCAGTAATTAGGGTGCCAAAAGAAAGGCTTACCGGGGATGATGGGTAGCTGGCTTGATTCGGATACGGTTGAGCCCAGGCCTGCACCCGGGCGCTACCCATATTGCCTGCATTTCCGCGTAGTTGGCTGACTCGTGATGGTGGGCGCGGCAGTGGAGAGCTGACAGTTGGTCTACAAATAAGCTTCAGAAATGTATATTCTCGATACCTGGTCGGTGTGAGGTTATAGATCGGCTGTGGAGTGCCCGGCTGGGAATAGTAGGGCTGGGACGTGGAGGGGAGCTAAAAATGAAACTTTTAATCAAATCGTTAACAATATAATAATTCAGAATAAGAATATTGTAACTTCTCACCTGTTCATACGGAGTTGGGATCACCGGGGCCGCGTTATGCGGTGGCACGGATAGCATCGGTTTTCCAGTGTGATGAAGAGCCGAGTCCGAAATGTTGAGCTGCGTATGATCCTGCAAAAGGAATATAAGACAATAGGAAACCCATTATATAGAAAACGAGTGTTTTTTGTGCGTGTGTGTGACAGTTTGCATACAACTTCCGACAGCGTATTCCAGTAATATCTTCATAAAGGACGGGTTTGAGGATATGTTCTTATATAATTATGTCATTGTCTGCTTCGTGGGGCTAGATGACCGCACACTGATCAGATTATGGCCAAAATTGCTGAGTAAATTCAATCTTGTTCAAATTTACGGTAATGCTCTTAGGATTTTGCTAAGGCTTAGGAAGCTATATTCATCAGCCGCAAGTGCCGGTAACCTACAGGGTGTCCCAAAAAAAGCACCCACTGGCATTTCGCCGTATTACATCCGATCGGTCCAAAACTTTGCACAAGGGTGTATCGGTTCATAAATAACCACAATCCTGAGTTATAGACCGATCGCCACAGTAGTTTTCGAGTTATCGCCAAAATACTATTTTTTTACGCGATTCTAAACAGTTTTTTCGGCTATCTTTTTGGACTTTGCATCGATTTGCATCGACTTCCGGCTGCGAATCCCTAATTTCGCTTAATAACTTGGGTAATTTTGTGTTGTAAAAATTGCTGAAATCGACGTTTATTTGATTAATTTTAGCCTAGAAAAACTTTCTTAAGGTAAAGAAAGCTTGTCGAATCTTTTTCACTTAATATTTAGGGGGTCTAATTCCACGGGACCCCTATGAAAAATTTAAAATAAAGTTTATTTTTGTTATAACTCGAGAACTATCATAACTACGGGGCTAAAATTCAGGATTGTGGTTATTTAGGGTCTGATACACTCCTGGTCCAATTTTCGGACTGATCGGACGTCATATGGCGAAATGCGAGAGGGGTGCTTTTTTATGGGACACCCTGCGTATAAAAGAGGGTGGAGAGCATGGCTTCTTCGTCGCGCAATCGTATACTTTAATTGATCTACGGCCTTGTAGGGCTGAAAAGCCGCGTAGCCGTTTTTCAACCCTGGTACATAGATAAAACTAGAACATTCGAAATACTTGGTAATTACAAAAATATACCTGATACGGTAACCGTTTAGGTGTACCCGGTAAGCCGTTATGTCCAGGATCCAGGATGGGCAGACTGCAAAAAAAACCTTTACATTGGGCGGAGTCAAATTCGAATGAGAGATCATCCCAGAAAGGGCATTGGTACGCAAAAAATGATGCGGTGTCGGTAGCAAAAGGGCGATCGCCGCCAGCGGAACGCGTGGGAAAACGGTATGTACAAACGGGGGATGCGTTCTGCTTCTTTAAATATGTAAAAGTGCCGCCTTTTGTGATTGATACATGCGCGGAATGGAAAAGTAGGGTGGGTGGTCGGAAAGCAGCAGTTACAGTAAGCGCTGGGCTATCTAACCTCAGTACTTTTATAAAATTCAAAAGTTAACAAGGTGAAATGCTCAAAATTTCAATTTAAATATGACCAGATGGAGATAACGAGGTGTCAGACAAGGTGGCATGTAGCGATTTGAAAATAATTGAGGGGCAACGTGGATGGAGGTGGTGAGAACCGTTTTCGGGGGCATGCAATCCGCGATAGCATCTTGAAAAATCACTCATTCTCACGGGGCACATGTGCCCAGCTGGGGTGTCTCAACGGGGCAGGTAATTAGATAATGACAAAAATGGGGAGGAAGAAATACATCGGGAAAGAAAAATAACTTTTCCGGCTGTGGAACGGCGGCTACAACACCGGAATGGAACTTTTAACGTTTGAGCGCTAGAGCGAGTGAAGTTCGAGCAGGTTTTTAAAGGATTCCTAGGTAATAGTGGGGCATAGTTGCGAAATAGACCTGCTACTCTGATTTAATCTATTCAAACAATCCAATGGACGAGTTATACGCAATTCTATTCCCTAGTCAAAAGCACTGATAGAAAATCGGTACACGGCGCTCCTATGAACTCTGAACTGTCCACAGGTGGCGTAATTTGTACTCTCTAAGCGGAAATCCCAAATTTTGCGATAAATCACGATTTAGCTTGAAAGTTTGGTAGAAAACTTAAACAACAAAACAGATGAAAATGTTCTAGAAAAAATGCACATATTTTGAGAACAAGATACCAAAAATCTATTCTGGTACTCGAACTTTACAAATTTGTTCGAACGCTCGAATTTGGGAAGTTGTGCACCTGACGTGGTCTATTTCCTGGACTCTCAGTGACGTCCAGGAAATTATGAAGAAACTGCATGGCGATTCAAATCTGTAAACCAAAATATTTTAGAACTCCTAGCGACACCAGTTTTTGTGTATGACAAGACTGATAAGATTTCGCCCAAAAAATGGTATCAGATGGTGCACTGGTCGGGGGGTAAGGCGATCGATAGAAGAAATGGCACGGGTTCATTAGCCAATGACACCATTATCCTCTCCGGCACCCAGGGGCACCAGAGGGTCCTCCACAACCATCTTGCGCAACCCACCGGTCACCCTCCCCCCACCTAGGTCACAGTTTAGGGATTAGTTGCCGGGGAAGCTGGTGGTGGAATTGGGGGTAATGGTAGTGGAATGACATTTATAAGCATATAAAATCTACAAACCAAGTCATTAAAAGGGGGGCATTAAATTGGGGAATATATTCCAGTTGGGGCCAGATGACGTATCACGTATTGTCACATCTGCCTGTACCCTCCGGCCATGTTCCCAAAAACCTGGGAATCGGCTGTGCAGCCGGCACGGAAGGTACGAACGTTGATAGATTGGATATTCGTCCCAGAATTTTCGACATTTTCACTAAATTTCCAGAACGCCATGCAATAGAGCATTAAAAATTATACTTAGGTTTTGAATTACAACGCAAAATAATGTGATGTACAAAGGCTATAGCAAGAAAAATAAAATTTGAAGCGGGATTGAGATGCTAAGGCTTAAAATTAACGTTAAGCAGCAAGCATTAGTACATAATAGTTGCTATTACTGGCATAATAGTTGCTATCACTGGCATAAAGGAAATTCTAGGTAAAATTTTCGAATTTAAGCTGATAGTTCCAGTGATGCGTATGAGAAATAAAAGCATATTATTGTCTACTGCTCCTCCAATAAATTATCCTGCTGCCTGGGCCCGATGCAGAAGTTTTGGCCTGTCAAAAGTGACAATAGTGCCACGAAATGATGGGCTAGATTGCCGAGGGCAATGTGGACTGCTGCAGTCGAGAAATTGTGGGCCCAGATATCCTCGCATCCGACAAACAATAGCCTCGGGGATATGCCTTGCGCAACGCTCTCTCTCTCTCTCTCTCGCGCTCTCTCTCTCTCCCTCGCTCTCACTCTCCCATACCATACGAAGCAGTTAATGCTGTATAAGATATTGATTTTTGGAAGGAGAATTTTGCATATAAAAGCTACTAGCAAAGCAATTTTATGTCAAGAATTTGAGAAATAACACAAAAACTAGAAGACGAAAGTTAAAGCCCTAGTTCGAGGTAATAAAACTACAACCAAGAATACTACTGTCAATAATCGCAAAAATTTTATGCAAATCACGGAAATAAACAATCATTTGGCTCTGGTAAACAGAGGATAAGCCGGGAAGCCATTGGCACAACGCCCATGCTACCCTCCCCCATGCGTGACCTTGCATTCGTAATTGCCCCGCCCTGTGCTAGATTTTTAGTGAGCTCGAAGAAAAATCAAAATAAACAGTTTATAAATAGCTATTAAGCTTTAAATGGACGACTGAGAGGGCAAAGTTCAATTCTACGGTTGGGATTTTCGGAATAACCTGTGCTTTAGACCTGAGAAAACCACGCGAGGTAGCCAAACCTTGACCCTACGATTTTTCTACCCCAGAATCTCTGGAATTTTCCAGACCTCCAATCCAACCAGCTTACTACCAATCACAGCTGATAAACGACACGTGCCAATTTCTCGGCTGCCCGGAGATGTGGGCCCTTTAGAAGGTGCCGCCCCAGGGGGATGGGTTCAAAGAAGCCGCCAAAAATGGGGTAGAGGGTGCCCGCTACGTAATACCTGTTCCGCGCACTAACATTGTCGGCCAGCCGGGTGCCGTGGCCGTTTGGCCATTCCGGTGAATTTTAGATGAGATTTGTGTGGTAGGTGGGTGGTGGTAGGTTACGGTAGGGGATAGCGAGACTGAAAGGAGTGACAAAGCGACAATAAAGAAAGCATTAAAGTCAAAGCCAAGCCAAGTTAAAGAACGTTGGTAGCAATGGCCCATAAAAATTTTCCAGGGCTACCAAATGGCTTCCGAACCCAGCGACTGGGGTGCAGGGAGGGTGTGTTTTTGTGCCCTCTCTTTCCCTCTCTATCTCTTGTTCTCTCCCATCCGTCGAAGAGGGTTAGGGGGAGTAGAGAGTGGGTGAGAGGGAGAGACACAGGGCGGCAGAGTCCGACCCCCGGCCGCAATTTGAACGGCAGAGGGATAGGGTCCTCCCCTGCCTACCACCATGCAGCACACTCGAATGGTCTAGCTAGGCAGCTAGCCTAGAGTCGGATGGACGACCTACGCGTGCCATTCAAGCCAAGGCAACCATGGGGGAGGTGGTGGCTCCCATGTCCTCGGATGGAAGACAACAGACATGATCCGGACAATTATCATATAGCGTGTGGTTAGTGGACTATGGCATAGATCGTAACCAAGGGATTAATAATGTGTTTTTTGCGTAAATGAAAAAAAGACCAAAGGAGGTTAAGATAAGGCATGTACGTTATTATGTACTGGGCGTAGTTAGGATGCAATTATATAAATAATTACCCCAGGAATTTGCAATGAGATCTGAAATGCAAAGAAGCGTAAGCTTCAGGATTTTTCAAGGCTGTGCGAAGATTTCAACTATGCAATCCCAGCTATAAAAAACATAGGATTCCTTTTTCTGACTACTTCGTGGTGTAGTTCCGCATCTAGCGCCCCAGGTAGGCCTTTTTGGATACGGGAGAAAGGAGTTAGTTTTAGGATAAACGGAATCCATCCAATCAGATCAGATATTAGTATGATTTTTTATATTAAAATTGGCGTCTTGTTCACATCGAGATTTAGGGGGAACTATGATGTGCAGCGAGAGAACGAGGCAGAGAGATTGATAGCGAGGGGGAGAGAGCGGGATGAGAGATTAGAGAAAATGAGAAAAACAACAGATCCGCTTGTAAATTATTACCCATAAACAACCATTGTTAAAAACTTTAATTATTCCAATTCCAAAAGCAGCTGCCCAATTTGAGGACATTGAATTGATGGCCGACCGGGGGGTGCCAGGTGAAATTGATGGACAACGGGGGCAAAATGGCTCTCGACCTCATGTACGATTTCCGGAGGCGGCTCTTGCGGTAATCCAATCCATGTATTGCCCATATCTGAACCAACAGATTCTGCCCAACTAACCCGCCCTCGGCATTCGTGTTTTTTGTTGACTGTGCGCAAACACAGGGCCGTCGCCCCCGAGGGATAAAGGTCAAATAGTCTTTTTAGGGATGTGCAAGGGCAGGTTGAGGTTTTTTTGCTTGGGAAACAGTTCTAGGGGTTTGTGGCAGGGCAGGTGCGGCGAGGAAGGAGTGATTTGTCGTGAGAATTTATGAAATAGGCCAGCCTTTTTTTGTTACGGTAGCGAATCGTAGGGGGGTGATGAGGGGGTCAGCGTGAGGTCCGAATTTGGAGGTTTGCGATGTTGCATAGGTCATTCGATGGAGTGTTAAATTCACCATCATGAACAATCTTTCAAATCCGGGCTACATTTTTAAGTGTGCCAAGAATAGGCAAAATTGACCCCTTTCAGAGCAAATTTTCTTTAGTGCCGTATTCATTCAGCACTTTTTGAAAGAGGAAGTTTCACTGCGACAGAATTTCGAGCTTATCCATGCCTATGTAAAATAACAACCTTCAAAACCACGTCAAACGATTCCTTGAAACCTCTAACCAGGAATATTCACAGCTCCCTAAAAGTTAACCTAATCCATCTCCCTCCCTATCTCATCCGGAAAAAGCCCAATCTTCGATCTCAAAGGCCCAGCACAAAAAGAGCAGTTGTCTTTGCGAAGATTTGAACCCCAGCCCTGTGAGCGATCGCCACATTTGCCCGTCGCCTCCACATGTGTCGAAGGCCATGAGATGGGCCCTTCGGCTCAGAAGTATCTGTGACCCGCAGGTACCCATTGTTTTTGTTTGTTTATAAGCACCTTTACCACACATTGAAACTAGGACCGGACCAGATCTCTTCCCTATCTATCTCTAGGACCAAAGTCGATGCCCTGGCTATCAAAACGAAACTCGTTGTTTCTAAAAATTGCGTTCTCAATCAAAATCTGAGATGTGTTGAGCGGATCTTTGACGCCCCTCTTCTGCACGGCGCTGGTCAAACATTGAGCTCTCAACAAAGGGTGTTTTGGAATGAAAAAGCTGGTGTAATATTGGATTGGCGGACGGAAAGGGGGGGGGGAAGAGAGAGGTTGGCCCTCCTCACAAACGGGGGCATTCACTATCACCAACACATTTTCAGGAATATTGGGTAATTTTGATGTGTTCTCTTTTAAAGGGTTTTGCCAAGATTTTCGACGAGATTTTGACAACAAAAGCTGTGCTGGATTTGGGGTATTATTTAAAAATTAGCTAAGAGAATTTTTGGCCCATGGAGCATAGTATTAACCGTTCCAAAAAGATACGATATCGATTTTCCGGCATACGCAACCATCTTGACTTGCCGTTTTTTGGGTTTATTTTTTGCTTTTTTTTCATAAATAGGAGCTGTTCTAATTTCTAGCAGATATCTTTGAATAAGCTCAAAAAATTTCCCTTCCTTCCCTTCATATCGTAAAAGGTTGTTCCCAATCCAAAGCTTTTGAGCGTGAGAAACTGCCTGCCCCGAACGCAGCACCCCACCGCCTACAACAGTCCTGAATACAAATGAGAGCACCTCTTTCTTCCCCTCATCCACCCCTATTTTGCATCAATCGAAACACAACCCTCTTTCCACCCCTTCTCACCAATTCCTCTCACAAAAACGCCCGACTCCCCCCATTTATCATTTGTTTACAAACTCCCCTCCAACATCTCTGTTCTAGCTTTGGTAAAAAGTGCGAGTTATACACGCTTCCATCGAAAAACCTGCTTGCCGACCCATTTTTCCACCTTTTTTTCGTTGGCCGCGCAACATGGTCTCGGCTCCTCTTCGACTCTGGCCATTCTCCTCTTTACGCTTGGGTAAAATATCTGTGCACTTTATGGGTGCCTGAGCTTTGTGAGGAGTGGAAGAAGGAGGAGCAAGAGGATGAGGAGGAGAGGAGGCATCAGCGAATGTTCGTGGCTTTTGGGTTTAGTCTTTTTATGTCGAGGGCTTTGGGGTTGAGTACGTTCCGGGGTGGTGATTTTTGTTTTAGGGGTGGTAGTCGGGGTGGGGAGGTTAGATTTTTGGAGCGGTTAAAGGGGTCCAAAGTTGGCTTCGGACCGAACGTACGAAGGGTTTATCATCTGGCTACCAAAAACCACGTGATGCGCTAAAATATGACTTTAAGCGCGTATTGGATCTTAATCGAATCCCGATGTAGCAGAGTTAGAAAGAATATTTTCGTGTGTTGGCGCAGCTTTCAATGTTTACATGTCCTCTTTAAGGTATTTTAGAATGTTGCGACGTAACATAGCTCATTCGATAGAAATTAAAATTCCAACGAAGTCCATCTTTAAAAAAAATTATTCAATAGCCGCGCTCTAGCAAAAATCTGCTTGAAAGCACTGGTTTTGCTCGCTTTGACCCGCGCTTAACAGAATGTAAACTTTGAAAAATGTTTTCTCCTGGACGGGTAGTGAACAGAAATTTTGAGAAATAACGGGCAACACTTAAAGCTCTATCGAATGAGATAAGTCAAATTGCAAATTTCCAAAACAACCTATAAACGACCGGCTGCTAGCTACTAATGGGGGCAGTTGTACGCCTGCGAGTCCCTTCAAACGCCCAGAGATTAGCTTTTTTTGAAAGATCCTGATTTATTTTCATTTTTGATTCCAGTTTCCGAAACGCTGACCTTAAAAATGCTTATATAACCAACTAGCTTTCCGTTCCACATTCCTCGAAGGGTTAATTAATTAATTTTCTGCCCCCTATCCCTGTTACCACCAAAGATGCTGGATTATTTGTGTATATGGGAGATGTTTGAAGGGAAAAGGACATGAGGAGTAAAGGCGTGAGGATGGGCGAAGGGTGGCCCACAAGGGCCCTGGCCGGATGGCTCGCAACCTTCCACCCCCTAATTGCGCCTCATCCACCCCCAGGTCGAGCACCACCCATAATCCCTTCCCGCCATCCCCCATTTTCCCTCCAGCCGGCCGGAACAGAAGTTTTTCCCGGTAATTTAGTTGCAGGGCCGAATTTGAACTTTGGAAAGTGGGTTATTTGGAGAAGCCATCATTCTTCTTTGTTTTCAAATAAATTCTTTGGGGGTTTGTGCATATGCATGTAAATTTTGTCTTTTATTTTTGTGATACGGTTATATTCTATATTAAATCAGGGTTTTGTTAAAAACATCGCCTTACACTGTGTTAGACAATATTTGCATACCCGGAATAGTGCGCTCATCTCTTAATTCATTTCATCTCATTCTTTTGCGTTGAGATTTTTCTGTGAATTCGCTATGTAAATTAGGCTACGTCGATCTTAAAGCGGGCTTAAAAGCCGCGTGTCAAATTTAAGTCAATGATTAGAAATCCGGTGTAACGCGCAGGCGCACGGCTTTTACTTAATTTCGATCTATTTGTGATTTTTGTCGTTTATTTGTTGGGCTCTTATTTACACAGATTTGGCTAGACGAGTTGGCCCACCTCTGGTTGACCGGTCACCGCTCACAAGGAGACGTTTTTAGGTGGGCATGGAGTTTCGTAACGAGACCTAGCTCATTCGAAAGAGCTTGAAAAACTGAGCAAGATCCCGTTTTCCATTTCTGCGAAACGATAGCGATTGATTTTTAATAATTAAATTAAAGAATTAGCAGAAATCGGCATGATTCCCCTCGCGCGGAGGGATTTCCTTCCAAATGTCTCCTCTGTCGGAAAGCCAGGCTCCGTCTTCCCTTCCCCATAGCGATTTGGCGCAATCGGTACGGCGTTTGCCTCTCACGAAATTTTTTTGGACTTATTGTCAGTTCGACCCCTGAGCCCAGAATTCGTTTTGCTTTTTAATTCCTGAACACTTTCTAAACGTGGAATCTAGTTCAAAATTAATTTTTTTTGTGGTATGCCCCAAACCGGTAACTAGTGTTGGACAGCACCCCAAAGAGAGCACCCCGGGGTGCTTTTTTTCCCACCCCGGGGTGCTTTTATTTTCACCCCGGGGTGCTCTAAAAAAGCACCCCGGAGTGCTTTCAAAACCACCCCGGGGTGCCCCCAAAAAGCACCCCGGGGTGAAAATAAAAGCACCCCGGGGTGGGAAAAAAGCACCCCGGGGTGCTCTCTTTGGGGTGCTGTCCAACACTACCGGTAACGTTGCACTCGCGTCTCAGGGATTGAAATCAACTGGCCCGCTTGCGCATACACCGGTGCTGTTCAGAACATTTATGTTACGCATCTGCGATAATTAATTCAAATAAATAATAAATTCAGCCTCCTAAAATAAAAAGCAAAACGAATTCTGGGCTCAGGGGTCGAACTGACAATAAGTCCAAAAAAATTTCGTGAGAGGCAAACGCCGTACCGATTGCGCCAAATCGCTATGGGGGAGGGAAGACGGGGCCTGGCTTTCCGACAGAGGAGACTTTTGGAAGGAAATCGCTCCGCGCGAGGGGGATCCTGCCAATTCCTGCTAACTCTTTAATTTAATTATTAAAAATCAATCGTGATCGTTTCGCAGAAATGGAAAACGGGATCTTGCTCAGTTTTTCAAGCTCTTTCGAATGAGCTAGGTCTCGTTACGAAACTCCGTGCCCACCTAAAAACGTCTCCTTGTCAGCTGAGCCGTTAGGGCCCCTTTGCGACAAAAGGCCTGTCACCCCCACCCCCAATTCCTTCTAGCCATTTTTTCGTTACTACAATTTCAATCCTCTTATCTTAACATCTCTGAAACGGATTAGTAACGCCGGAGCGCGAGGTCTCACGGGATCGCGGGGTGTTATGTCTGGATGTGCTTTTGCACCCTTTTAGCTCCTTGGTTGACCACTCGGCCGTTGACCGGTCAACCAGACATCCATAGGACCCCCTCTCCTCGCAGAAGCCCCCGGCAGAGCTGAATCACTCGATTCCTCCCCCCGGGTCGTCTGCTTCCCCCCTTCCACTTCTGAATCACAGCTCAAAAATTGAGCCAGCTTCTCGATGTCTGTCCCCCCATTTCTGAGTGCTGTAATATTCAGTTGATCCTTGAATACGATTATCGGGGGGCGGGGCTTCGGTGGGGACCGTATTCCTGCCGGCCGGCATTCTTTCAGTACAGGGGCTCCTGGCTGTTTCAGTCATCACAATAGTCATTTCTTATTTTTCGACTGGCTTTCCGATGCATGGCAGTCATTGGTGACGTGCTGTTATGGTCAGTATACAAACAGGTTCCTTGCCGTTCCTTCAATAACCCAATCTCCGTACCCTAAATTGAATATCGACACCCCCTTCCGAGCCCCGTCCCAACAATTTACAGCTCCATTAATAATGCCCGTGTGGCCCCGTGTGCGCGAAATTGCACTCCACGATTTGTGATCCCCTATTTGTCGCCGTTTTTTGAGGCAAGGGAAGGATGGGTGGCCAAAAAAGCGATTGGGGCCAGCTGGCGTCTTAAGGGGGTAGTTCCGCCTAAAATTTACCATGAGTCTGAGCGAATGGGGTGTAGTTATCATGGAAAACTCTTTCATAAGTAGGTTTTGTCGGTTTTGGAAAATGATCTACGAATTATTATTTTATTTTTTATGCCTTTCTTAGTGAATTAATTTTAAATTGTTTACAAACTCCCTCAGTGCCGGTAAGCTTTTTTCTAGTTACATTTTAATTTTTGGGTCAGGATTGACTGTCTAGATGGTAATTTCCCGTTTGATTTTAGGACGATTCAAATTTTCGTTTCCGGGTTTCCTTCTGATTATAATTTTTAAGCAGCCGTAAGCCATTTATGGGTTGTCTACAAATACAACAATTTTTTCCTCTCTGCTCTTACTCCCATTTCCCCCGAACATATTTGATTTACGGGGCTATCGGGTACCTTTCATCACGAACCGTGGCCATTTCACCCCCCTCGTATTTTCCTTTCCAAAAACCATCGATATCTGCGGCATGTCCGGGACCGTGAATGCTCCGCCTCCCACCCCCTCACAGACAATTACGGTATTGATCTGTGGGCCGGATCGTGGCGCTCACTCGCGCGCAAAAATTCTCCCTCGCCACTCGGCTCCCCAAATTTGAGAATCAGCTCCGCTTCCTCCGCCTCCCCACTGACCGCCCACTATTTCGGATTTGACCTTGAATTTCCCGTCGGTGTATCGGGATCTTTGCGGGTTGCTGTGCGCAGTTGGCCTGTTTTTTCCGTATTTTCAAGGGTGGTTGGGGTTAGAGCCTCATTTAGAGTATTCTTTTGAACGCAATTAGGACTTTTCTGTATTTGAAAAAGGGATAGCCAACTTTAAATACTGACTTTAGGAGATAGAACCATTAAAATTGTGATATTCCTGGGAAGCGGCACTAATGATAGCCATAGCTAACCACAAAACATATCACTAGTGCGTCCAGCGGTTCATTAAGATTTTTTTTAATAGAAAATGCTTTCATTTTTCACGCCCTCAAAGGTTATAAAAGACCTAATTCACATGTTGCACGACCAGTAATGGGTCTAACCACCCGTCAGGACATGTATCCCCCTCATGCTCATTAGGCTGTTGCAACCGTAGATAACGAGCTCAATTTCTTGGCTATACTTGGAGAAGGAATGTTGCGACTACATTACCCTAGACATACTTCCGTTTGGCTAAGATGCTCAGAAAATTTTTGCCTAGAATTATTTTTGACCCTCTGACACCAAAAATTACACTACATATTCAACCATCCCTTCTCCGACCCTTTTCATATCCGGATTAAACGGACATAGATGTCTGTTTTGTTTTTAAAACGTAGTCCGGCAGTTGTGGATCGATTCGGACAGCTTATCCCGTTGTTTTTCCCCGGACTTTGCCCGCCGTCTCCACCTCATGGACCGCAATGGGCTGGGGAATGAGGCACATGTTGCCAATGAGTCGTTTGGCTCTCTCTCTCTCTCTCTCTCTCTCTCTCTCTCTCTCTCTCTGTTTCTTTTAATCACTGGACCCACCCTCCTAAAATCTACCTGGAAATTCAGATTTTTAGAATGCCGAAGCAAGAATTCGAAACTTTGGACTACCTGGGTCCGATTGCTGTCGGTATCGCCTTTACTAGTAGGTTTATTTAGTTTTGACACAGGTCGTGGAAAAACCTGCATTCAAAGTTGTTTTTTAGTCATGCTCTTTGTGATCTCGTTCTTCGGCATCAACTTCTTTTGCATTCTGAAGCACGATGATGTGACTGCCTTTGAGAGGGTCAGTCATTAAAATTTCGAAAATGCTAAAATCCATTGAGGATGAATCAACTTAAATATTTTAGATGGGTGCTCGCTACAACATGCGCCTTGGCCCCCACCGTATGTCCGTCGTCAAGCAGGGACTCGCCTACGAAGAGGGCCGCGAGTACGACTCCGAGTCTTCGTAGATTCTTGTAATTATTCTATTATGCAGCTCTTTTATACACAAATAGCTTCTCCACCCCCCTCGACAACACACCATTTTCCACCCCCCTCCCCAGCATTTCCGGCTCATCAATTAGGGTACGCGCGAAAGTGAAATCACCCACCGCGATCCGGCCTGAAACCGGAACCTGGTAATCATCCATTCAAATTGAACCCCCCCCCCCCCTCTCAAAAATGCATTCAGCGCGCAGCTCGAGGTTCTGCCCTTGCCTTTAAAAGCAGCAAAGTCCAGTTACAAAAACATTGCCAACGTTTCTCACTTTTACGAGCTCCTCCCACCTCTCGAATTGCAAAATTTCGCCCCGCGTTCATACTCACAAATATTCCCAAGGCATTCCACTTATTTTGTCCTTTTTTGGTTTTATCGGAGAGATGTCTTAAAGTCTAGTTATCTATTCTATCCAGACGTACTTCGCAATAGTCCCGAGTGTATCCCGATGTTGTGTGTGCCTTGGATAAATATATCTTTTCGAGTTTTTATACAATTTTATACAATAGTAAGAAGAAAGGTAATCACAATTCTAACCGGTCAGTATTATCCTTGAATGCTGAGGTATCAGCGTTCTGCGCCAAATTGCGGAAGTGCTGAGAATTTTTGAATTCGGAGTAGAGGGAGAATAGAAGATGGAGGGATTGGATTCGCGATTTGTGGACGGGGATGTCGACCAGGTTCAGACAAACATCAACAAAAACCGGGAGATCCACATCGAGCTGGGCGTTCGGCAACTGTAATAAAAGTATTAGTGTTAGGTGGCTAAATTACCATCGTTCCGGTCAATGACTCCTCAAACTCGGCCGGCCACTCCTGCATCAACCTCTCAATATCGGGGAGTGGTTTGGTATAATGGACGTTTGTAGAGGGTTTGGTACGGTGCATTTCCTAACATCATTCTTAGTATTAAGGAATTAAATTCTACCTTAATATCTTCAATCCATTTTTCGATTAACGGCGTGTTTTTGTCAGCCCGTTCCACCTTTTTCACAGCAGCTTCATACTTGACGTTTGCCTAAAACAAATTTTACAACCGAATCTAGAACCAAACCTCCTTTGAACTATTTCTCAACTGCATATCCAAAATGGTAGGGTCAGATTGCTTCAGAGCTGGCTCGTCAAGCTGTACCATCCCAACGTTATCTTCGACCTAAAATATACGCTGATATTGTCAAAAAATCCTATCAACCTCGTCGGGCCGTGGAATCTTCACAAAAGTATCAACATCTCCAACCGCTGGTTGATAATCCAATAAGAATGGCTTTAGCTGGATGTCAAATTGAAACTCTTCTGGCTAGAATTAAACTTATTAACATTTCCATGAACTTGTAACCTGATACTCATCCATCATTTCCAACACCTCAATTTCTGCATCCGTAAAATGATATTTCTCCGTTTCAAACTTTGATTTTGCTAAAATTAACTTTCCCATCAAGCCCAATCCAAAATACCCAAATTCACAGGCATATCCATATCATCATAATCATCATCGTCGTCGTCATCATCTGAATGCACCCGAACCCCCATCGCCATCTTCTGAAAATCAGCCACCTATGACTAGAACAAACCACGAAAAAGCCACACAAAAGCACAAAAACAATTTAATAAAAAATAGCAATCGGGAAAGCCGACACGGCAGGGCCTCGTGGCCTAGCGCCCGAGGGCCCCTAAATAACAATACTGGCCGAAAATAAAGTAAGCAAAATTTGTTACCCGATTTTCTATAGAATTTGGCACGTCGTTCCCTAAAAAACAAACCTCGAATGGACGGGCAATATTGCCAAGTAGCATACCCGTTAGTGTCGTTGGAGTTTTTCTGGTTGGTGCTATAATGGGAAATTGAGAAAGTTTTGGGTTAACTAGGGTGGATCAAATAACTCATAAATCAGGTTCCATCCATGGCCAATGTTGTTCTTAAAATTTGCTACTGAGCTTGAAATCTCGAGATATACGCTTTCAAAATAAATTATATTTAGTTGGAAGCGCCAATTTTTGATCACTATTATTTGGATCCTTTTGATTGGTTTCGAAAAACAAATATTTCCCTCATACTTGGACCAATCCTATCCTATAAGCGAGAAAAGTATGTGTGTTTTCTGTACGGCCGTTTTCTCGGCCGTCAGGCCGCGTTTCGAGCTGATTTTTGGCATGGCGGTGGGAAATGTCACTCATAAAAAACGGTTTTTCGGATTTTTCGAAATTCTTTGATTTAACGATTTTACAAGCAAAAATGTGGAAAATCCTTAACATTTTTGGGTACGCACGTTGTCCGGAACTTTTCTCGGCCCCTAGAGGGAATTGGGGTCTCATTTTTGGAGGGTAGATGGGAAAAGTAATTCACCAGATACATTTTTTTGGATTTTGCAAAAATCTTTAAAATAAAGTTTTTATGTGGATTTTTCTGAAAGGTCCTTAATAAATCGCGGAACGGACCGTGGTGTCCAGGCCATAACTCGAAGCCCTGATGGAATTCCGGTCAGAAATTTGGGCCGTGTATGCAATCAAGGGTGGGGATCATGCGCATCTTATTATCTTTGCAAATTTTCCACAGATTCAAACTAAAAAATAGAATTTTGTAAAGTGACCAGGAGGCCTCCCTCCGGGATCCTTGGTCACCCTTATCTTTGCCCCCGCCTCCCCATGACAGAACAGGCCTTTCCCGCCGCCTCCTCCCATGTCCTCCTTGGTGTAGTGGATTAGCTCTCGGCCTACCACGCGCAGGGTCGCGAGTTCGGATCCTGGGGGAATTTCCGTTTTTGCTTTTTGGTAGTTCGGCAACAAAACATATAGCTAGGGTCTCGGTGCGCAAGATTCAGGTCTGGCTCTCGCTCTAGCGCCGCAGGCCAAAGAAAAGGCCCTGGCTCGGGCTCTCGCGCCGCAGGCCAGATCCTGGAGAAAAACCAGTAGCTAGCGCCGCAGGCTCAAAGATTCTAGCGCAACGCTCGCTCTGGTGCCGCAGGCCAAAGAATGGCTCCTTGGCTCAGTTTCTAGCGCCGCAGGCTAAAAAAAAAGAGGGTATTCAAATTCATGGTTCCCGGACGTGGTCTAGTGGAAAATGGCCGCGAAGCGGTCTTTTTCCACTGGTTTTTCTATAGATGGGGTTACTTAACCCTTTAAGAGGTTCAGAAAGAGTTCTATGGTATTAAACAACTACCAGGTGCCCCAGGCGAAGATACTGGTGCCATTGCTGAGGAAGCAGCCGCAGCAGAAGCAGCAGCAGCTGCCGGTGCTACTAGCGGTGGTATAGAAGCTGGCTGCCGAGCTGTGGGCCCTTCCTCATATGCTGGTGGTGGGCCCTTCGGATAGTCCGCCGGGGTGCTGAACTCGTCTAAACCCATTCGAATGAGTCGTGTACTGCCACTAGCCCGGTCGAGACCCACGAATTTCTTGGGAATAAACGCCGGAAAAGCGTGCGAAATTTGGATACGTTTGGGAAAGGGCGTGTTGACTACAAAAGGATAGCCATTTTGGGGTTGGTACGAGATTTGATGGAACATTGGCGGTACTAGGCTTCAAGAGAAATACCAAGTAGAAATTCATGCAAAAGGTGAACTGTGGTTGCTGGCTTACAAGGAAACGTTCATAGTGATAAGCTTCGAGTCGTGATCTTGGGTAGAATTAAACGCTGATCAGGAAATAGTTTACGAATTTTTGGATAGCTAAAAATTTGTTCCAAGTATTTCAATTGCTCAGCTTTTACAAATTTTTGGATGGGACGGAAGTAGGCGCTTTTGGCTTGGAATTTGGCTTCTGTTACACTAAGATGCGTTATTATTTGTGGAAAATTGGCATTTAGCAAATTCGAGAAAGAATTTTGAAATTAGTGAAAAATTCTGGACCGGATACGCTTGTTTCCGATTTCACTAAAAAATATCCTTGTTCCCATAGTACAAGTTAATAAAGCGATCGACAGCACGATTTTTAAAGAAAATTTGGTAGTCTATAGCTAGTCCAAAACCCACCTAACGGCAGAAATGATTCCTCGTGCTCTCCCGACGCTTGCAATTCCTCAAAAGCAAAGTTAGAGAAAGCCAAGTCGTGGTACCTCCTCAAGTGGCGCCTCCCCAAAAGTATCGGGCGATTCGTGACCCGGTGGATGCGGTCGAGCATCTGAAAAGAAGAATGCCATTGTTGTGTGTGGCCAGCGGTTCCCCCCAGGGGATATGAGACCAATCCTGGGGACCGCGTGACCTATAATTGGCGACAATTAGCATGTCCACACGTGGGAACCATAGTAACAAAACGGTCTGCATATATTTGGTATCAATTAACTCGAGTTGACAGATTGTTGTTTTTTCTTTTTTAGCTAGTTTTTTTTAACCTGGAGGGTAGTATTGTTCGCCTTGTGCCGGTTCGTCATCTTCATACCGTGGCGATGCGAAGACTTCCGGGTTATGGTAGATGCCCTAAAATCAGGAAGATTAAAATGCGCTTAATTTTCCTGTTAACAACAAAAATAAGGAGACATGCAGTCGGTATAAACCTATGGGTCAATAGAGTACCTCTACCTTTTCTTCGTCCAACCCACGAATCTGTGAGTTTTCATCGCCAGAATCGTCGCTGATCGGCTCGCCCAGCTTGTGGTCCATCGACTAAAATTTAGATTCAGTTTAAGGCATGTTAAAATTAAAGAAATTTGGCAATAGACGACGGCAACCTTTGGGGGTTGGAGTTGCCATGGTAGTGGGGGGCGCACGCAATAAAAACGCTGTGTTGAGCCTATGCCTAAAAGGGATTGCTCCTCGGTGGGCAGGTGTTCGGTAATGAAGGATAGGGAAAGATTAGACAAATTGTTCGTAAACATATCAAAGAGCGAGTTAGAAACTTGAAATATCTGTTAGAGGTTTTCCGATTTATAGCAATGGCCACAATTCATTTTTAAGGAGAATTTTCAAGCTCGCAAGCGTTGCAAAATTACTAAAACAAGGGTTTGTCTATGTTCAACACACTGGGCATGTCTTAAAACTTCCAAATTCCTCGCAAAACGTTGGGTTCTTCATATTTTGGTCAATCTTCTGTGTAGATTTCGCCTAGCTTCGGTAAGATCCTACCGAGTTATGGCTCAAAAAATATATTTGGCCAATTCATAAAAATTAATTAAAACTAATTTATTGATCGACAAAATTGGAAATCCATTTTCCTTTACTTAAGCATTTCCCAACCATGCCATCACTTTCCGCCCCTCCAGATTTGCCTAACCTTTTCCAACCTCCGAGAACCCGAAGGCTAGCAAGGCCAAAGCCAGTGTGACGGCTCAAGAGGAGGGATTTGCCCTGCGGGAGCAACCCGACTCGATAAATACCAGTTCACCACCCCCCTCAAAAATTCGCTACCACCAGTCGGACGGCCCGAAAAACTCCCAGCACCGAAGATGGGCAACCCGGAAACGAAATCGCTGCTCTACATAGCGTGCTTATTATCGTTGCTAACAATTTCAATATTATTTACGTAAGGATTTGCCTAGCCTAGTATCTGCAAAACTTACTTCAGTTATTTACCAAAAATGTACGGTGATACCACGACTATAAAGGAGCTAATGAATAGCGAAAAACAGACGAGTGGCGATTTGTTCAATCGGGTTTGGCTGGAGCTGAGGGAGGTTTGTAATTTTTTTGCAGAACCATATCGATCTGATACTCTAGGAAAAAGCACTTGGTGCTAGGAAGAAGAGGCAATATGATTCTTGTTCTTGTGAGCAATATAATCCTTGTCCCTCCGGGCCTCCTGGCCGGAAAGGTATACAGATACACCGATCCAAAGATTCCTTTTAGGACTTCCCGGAATTCCCGGTGAGCATGGGATCCAAGGGGCTGAGGGGGCACCAGGAAATGACGGAATTCTGCCATTGGAGTTTTCGCAACAGGTTGATGGTTGTTTGGTTTGCCCGTATGGTCCAAAAGGCAAGGCGGGACCGCCTGGGAAACAAGGTCCACCGGTGAGTTAGTTTACATAGTATTTGCACCCTTTTCAAAATAACCGTAGAATAGTATCATAATTGTACGTTATAGGGTCCCGTTGGGGCGATGGGAAACCCTGGGACACGGGGGATGAATGGAGAAAGAGGGCCGGTCGGTGAAGATGGCGAACCGGGAAGGAATGGGACCGATGGAGGTGTGGGACCACAGGTATGTTAAAAGGTTTGGTAGGTTGCACATCTTCCGCTCCTAGACTTTCTGGTATTAATACGCCGCTGTGACTGTCCCTTTAAAATATCTCCATTAAGGGACTCCCAGGAAACAACGGTGTCCAAGGAATCAAAGGATTGGTTGGCAAACCTGGTGATCAGGTACCATTTTGCAAGACTTTTTTTTAAGTAATTTAGGGGCCTCGTGGTGACCAAGGCGCGATTGGCCCTCCTGGACCCTTCGGGGGCCCCGGCCCCAGGGGCGAACCTGGGCCCCAAGGCGCTCCTGGACCATGGGGCAAGCAAGGGGCTCGAGGTAAACCAATGACTCGCAAAGGTTATCAAATGCAACTTTTTGCAGGAATCGCTGGTGAAGAAAAAGGACCACCTGGAGGACCGGGGCCTGATGCCGGATATTGCCCTTGTCCGCGTCGATCACCGGTTATTGAAGCACAACTTGCTGAAGTCCAAAATCCATACGGAAGGCATCGAAGTCATTAAATCATCCAGCTTTTGTAGGAATAAATGTTTCGGAACTATTTTGGGCATGTGTCGAGCACGTACAGTATGCCCATATGTAGGATATGTTTGTTTATCTACCAAATGCTTGAAAATTTATATTATTTCAAACTGGGGGCCTTTATATAGGTGCTTAAACCTAGAGCTAGGTTTTTGTCGATACTATTGGTATGTATTATTCAAACCAGATGTTTCTGAGCGGTAGGCCGAATGCCCAGAGAAGCGCCCGACAAACACTGCCTGGGTCCCGCAACGATTCCCTTGTCCCCCAATGCTGCCCGGGAGGTCTCGATCAACGGGCGCCCCATGGAAATACTTCTTGGAAAGACCACTCTTTTCATAGCGAATCGAGTTTAAAGCTGTACTGCCGCATTTTGTTTAGAATCAATAGTGACACTTTGTTTATAATAGTTTTTTCGGGATGGTTAGACACATCTGGAAGGCTTATTCTTGTAAAGCAAGCCTCGCAGATCAAGACGCCGATTTAATACTAGGAATGAACATCATACTTTTTCTACTTTTAAATTTTGCGAAATAAAGCAACGACAAAACGATTGGACTTTCTTGACTGGCATGGAAGTAATTTTTCTGGTCTTTGGCTTTCAATGAAGACGTATGACTTCTTTGAAACTCCATTGCTTCAACTTGGATAGGTTATTGCTTTTAATGGCTCTCAACGCATCCAAATATAACGAATTTGAACATAAAAGTTTTTAAGGGTAGCCGCGATGTCCCTGTCGCGCCTCGTTCCAAGCAAGGGTGCCCAGCGCCTCCTACTCGTCCCAGTGCAGAGCCGCGGAGCTGCCCATGCTGCTCGTAAGTTGAAATCATTTAATTTGAACCCGAAACATTCAGCCGCCACTGCAGTGAAGGCCGAGGATGAGGAGCCCGGTTTTTTCCAGAAGGTCTCCCTCCGCTTCAGGGGTGAGGTTTTAATTATATCAGTAGCCATGTTTTTATAAAAAAGAAAGCTGAAAACAGATCCACAAAATAGAGACACGAAGCTAAAGACAGAACTGACACGTTGGGCCAAACATTAAGCTAGGTGTACATTTGTGAACTTCTTCGTCTAGGTGTCCCCCTGAAGGGCGAATCCCAGCGACCGAAATCCATGTTCGACGACATCGGCAAGGAGTGGTCCGCCCCCGAGCCGCTGCCGGAGGTCCCCAAAGACTTCAAGGAATACCCCGAGCGTGACCTGGTTAGTCTATGATCGTATTTAGGTATCGGGGATGCCATTAATAGTTCCGGATCTAAGCCCTACCACCAGAACAATCATTAACCTTTTCTAGGTCAACTACCCGTATCCAGCTCGCCCGATGTACCCACCGAAGACCCGTCTTTTGATGGTTCCCGATTCGTGGTGCACGCCTCTTCAGAAGATCACCGGAACCTCAGGTATGCAATAAGCGACATTTGCTTGCGCTGAGCTTTACCTTTTCCTGGTTTTCGCTAGCTGTCTGTTTCCATATTATTTGATTAAATATTCATATTCCTTCAGGACCGTACCTCTTCTTCGGAGGTCTCTTCGCCTTCCTCGTCAACAAGGAATTGTGGGTGTATGAGGAGCAGGGACACATGACTGCCGGCTGGATCCTCTTCTACCTCCTCATTTCGAAGAGCGTTGGCTTCCGTCTTGACAAGTACTTGTATGGCGAGTACCAGAACAGGTTAGGATTTTGAATAACCTTACTTAAATTTTACCTACGCTAATCACCTATGCCCAAATACGCCTATTTCGACATAGTACATTGTAGGAAAATCCTGATAGCAAAAATTCCGACAACAAAAATCCCGAAAACAAAAATTTAGACTTTCCCGATTCCCGACATGCAAAATAGCTGTTTAAAAGAGAGTGAATCTGAGAGATCTGTCGGCATGTTGGCTTGTCGGGATTTCGGCTATCGGGATTATGGCTAGAAGTCTAGCTGCCCCTACTGATGAAGCTAGAAATATTTAATACCCAGCAATAACACGTTTTTCAGGATGAACTACTTCAAAGGACTCATCCAGGAAGACCTCAAGGACGCCACCGAGTTCAGAAAGGTTTGTACCGCGACTTACAGGGCATAATAACAAAACTATACTTCAGACTTCCGCATTGGAGACTGACTCGTTGAGCACCGTCAAGGACTCTTTCCCCACCATCATGAAAGAGAACATGGAGCTCCAGCTCGAGGCCACCTACAGGAAGAACGTTTCCACGATTTCCACCGAGCTCCAGCGCCGTTTGAACTACCTTAAGGCACGTTTGGTTTTAATTTTGTATACCATGAAAAAGACGTGGCCCCCATATTGCACAAAATTAATGAATTTTAACGCCTAGCCTTAAAATCATTTTATTTACAGGATACCGAAGATGCCAAGTCTCGCTTCGAGAGGGACCTCATGCTCAAGTGGATTGTTAATGGCGTATGTATATACTTTCAAAACCTAAGTAATAATTTCAGGTGGAACAACAAGCGAAAGACCCGAAGTTCAAGGATCAATTCCTTTCCAACTCTATCCAGCAGCTCAAGGGTCTCAAAGTCAACCTCTAAATTCCGTTCACCCCGCCCCCCTCTACTTGACGCTAAGTATGTCTAGGGATATATTTTCTTTCTATTAGAAACTGCCTATGTAGTTGTGCCCCCAAAAATATTGTTACCATATTCTCGTACCGGTCGATAAATTGATTGAGAAGGTATAGATTTGGTTTTGGGTAACACATGGACAGATTTATGGATTTTCGGAAGTCGAACTATCTCATAGGACTTTAACTCACGATAATTCTGTAATAGAAAGAAGAAAGCGATTGATGCTCGGCAGCACCGCTGAAAACAAAAAATATCCTTCTGCATGAGGTCCCAAAAAGGACCACCTAACGGCACGCAGTCATAAAGATTTTTATGATCCAAGTGTCTATCGAAAGATCGGGAGATGGCGACAAAACAAACACTCGTCGTTTTCTAGATTAAATAACTTAATTGTGTATTTTTATGATTTTATGACCATAAAAAGCTGATCGATGCGAGATACGGATGTTAATTGCGTTTTTACGCAGAAAAGCCGAGTGTTTTTCGCAAATGTTTAATATAAAGAAAATGTTAAACATTTTCAGAAAACGAGGCTCACTTCTTTTTCGGCTTGATGAAAATCCATACAGAGAAATTTAAAAACTATATAAATAACCCACTAAGAAGCCATTACCCAACAATTCTTTCCGTTTTTTAGGTCTTCACGCCAATTTTTGGCCCACGGAAACCAGGGTGTTTTTCAATTAGTGTATTATTATTTTTTTACTTTGGTTTTATTTCTTCCACATGAAAATCGGCAGAGGAGTTCAAAAGTACAGCATTTCACAAACACGGGGAAAAATGTCGATAAATAGCGCCCTCGCCACCTCAACCTGTATATACAGCTATGAACTAACGAGGAGGAGGATTGGCCTATGACATGCAAATATATCTTTTTAAGAGGGGACAAGGCGGGGGGAAAGCGTACAGAATCGGACACCGCGTCGCACAGGAGAAACCACGGGAGCAGTTGAGAAACAAATTCACATTTCCAAATGACAATCAGAATTTTGTAGAATAAAGTGAAGAAGCTAAAATAAGGCACGTGCGCAAAAAAAATTAGATTTAGGGATAGAAATAAAATACTATATTTCAATCAGTGATACCGTGCAAGCCCTGAATGTGTTCTAATTATATATGGACTGGAAAGCACCAATAAAGCCTAGTAGGATTCTTCGGGAGGCATTTGTTTTGAGAGAAGGGGGACGTCCCGAAGGGGTACGAGCATCTTGAATTGTGATTGGGATAGTGGATAATTTGCTGGATGTACAATTTGCAGTTATTCTAACAGCGTGAACGAAAAGGGGGAAGGGATTTTGGGGTCGAACCAAATAAAAACATAAAGCAACTGAATGGTTGGTCTGAAAGAATTGTAACGGTATAGTTGGTCACCGATTTTCACGTCATACATTACATTGAGAGGTGCGGGGGATGCGGAAAATAAATAAGAAAATTTGATACCAGCCCTTCAGGATGTTGTTGGTTCGGGGAGGGGAACGTGGAATGATGAAAGTACGGTGTGGTTAAAGCAGAAATGGATTATGGAATGAAATAAATCACATATAAAAAGGTTCGCGGAAAGGGGGACTATTGTACTTGGGCAAATAGTTTTTCAACTAATGATTTTTGGTCGACGACGCCTGTTTGCATCCGCTTGCATTTTGCGCGTCGGTTTTTAAACCAGATTTTCACATTGTGTTGGCTGATTGGTGGGTAGTTTTCCCTAGAAAGCAGGAATTAATTAGAATTTTTAAAGACTTAAGCACAGTAATTTTTAAATGCTTATTGTGATTAATATTTATTACTTACCGGTACGGACAGCTATTCAATGTCTGCGTATACTGATCAATTTGCATCCACGTCGGGTGGGGGTTCTCCTCAAACCACTTCTCCAACACCGGCAACTCGGTCAGCGGGTCGAACATCAACCGTGATCGGGCCACTTGGTGCTAAAAAGAGATCCTTAGTCAACAAGAAAAAGCTCTAACCTGTGGGGCAGGCGTGTTGCACCCAGAATTCGACATCTGATGATGGTTCTGCTGAGCTGCTTGCGCCGCATTTAACAATTGTTGCTGTTGCTGCTGATGTTGTTGGAAAGCGGCCTAAAATTTTATCCTTGAAGTATTGAATTTGGCTACAAACCACTTGGGCCGCTAACATAGATGATATATTCCCAAAGCCTGTGAGGCCAGGGATCGTCGTCGTCAAATCTTGCGGAAGTCCAAGCAGTCCAGAATGTTTTGGCGAGGACGAGGCGACAGAAATTGGGAAGGACAGGTCAGGAGATGAGGCGGTGGATTCCTGAAACTAACGTCCTTAGTTTTTGCCGTTCGTAGCTGACTTCAGTTTTTAGACACCCCGGCTCTCCAGCTTCTTGCGGAAATTCCCCGTTGCCTACCAGGGTTTCGAGGAAAAATATTGCCGGTGCAAGGGATGACGGTTTTTGTATCAGCATGATGCAGAGAGCTGTGTTTGGGGGTCGGAAATTGGATGTGGGGGAGACCATCTTTGGGGGGCTTGGTGAAGACAAAACAATATTCTGAGAGGGGGATGGTTTGACTATGATGGTTTGTGAGCGGAAGCGATGCCCGCAGGAAGGTATATGAAGTAAAGTTTCAGACTGACCATCTATGCCAGGTTATAGCTTTAAATTTGGTTGTTAATTTTTACCTAAACATAAGCTGTCCGGCATGAGCTAATTTTAAATCTGTTTTTAAAGTGCACGTTCAGGGAGGGGCCGTGTACTCGTCCCAACGTGTACACCCTATGAACGTGTGGACAGCGCGTGCTGCCTGCCCGTGCCGTGGGAGGCCATACACCTCCTTTCCGGGGTGGGGCGCCCCTGGGCCCCTCGCCAGGTTGCATCTGTGGCTGACTGGTATGCGACCGCGTCTCCGGATCGGGAGGCCCGGGTTCGACCCCCGGCCGCGGTAAAAATCTTTGCTTTCTTGGCCAAAAACGTCCCTGAATGTGCCCTTTAAGGGATCGTGCAGGCCGAAATTCACGGGCTACCTAGATTCCTCAAGGAATATCTCTCCAAACAATCCTGATCAGTGTTTCAGCGCCTTAAATGGATTAGCAAGGTCCAGCAGATCAGAGCTCATCTATATTTGGCAACGAGCCAACCGGAAATGCAAATGCGAACATAGAGAAAATCGGCAGATAATGGGCCTAAGTAGGAGGGAGCAGACGAGAATTTTATGCTAATTTTAGGATTAAAGCCCGTATTATGCCAATTTTTCCTGGACTTTACTGACCCCTTTAAGGAGATCGCGCAAAACCCGCGGATGAGATGACGTTCGCGTCCGATTGTTTTGGGCGGAAAAGGTGTCATTAGTGTCGCAGATTCATGTCCCCAAGCAGTCCAACGATACCTCCAAATTCAGAACGCCTACACCCAAATTTTTAGCCACCCTCCCCCCACATTTCGATATTTGCCATGTTTGTGTGTGTGCATTGGGTCGGGAATGGGGCGATTGTTGGAAGATGGCTGGATACGATTGGAGCATGGCGCGGGATCAAAGGGGATTTGGTGTGGGCCGTTTGGCGGATCCCCGGCCGCCATGCCTCACCCCCTTTTCTCGTCACACTCGGCCCCGTAATCCCCCTATTCCCTCGCTCTCGAATAAACATCGACCATGCAAAAGAGAGGTTGAGCCTTGGCAAGGAAACGATTGCCCTCAACGACCCATCCCCCCACGAATGCACACGTAAATCCCGCATCGACCATTTGGCATTGGAATTAGACCGGGATAATGAGATCCATAGAACGATAGAATTTGGTGCCATAACCCGGATTCTAAGATCTTCGACACCCAATCCCCAAAACTGGGTGCTCATGATTTGAATTGCATAATCGCGGGTTCCAGAAGCCACGAATTCAAATAATCGCATGCAAATTCACTTATCAACAGAAAAACGCATTTTTGTTAAATTCAAATTTCTGCCAACCGATCGGATACCAGTAGTTCTTTCGTGATTGGCCGAATTTTGGAATGACCATTTGCCGATAGCGAAGACTAAGCTAGACTAGCGAATTGTTCCATTGTTACCACAAGTTAATTTAGTGATTTGAGTGCGAGATGTTTGAATTTGGGATTATGGAAATCGCGATTTTGGAGGCCTTATTTACCTAACCCCGCAATCCACATAACACCATAAAAAGTGTATAAATAATGACCTCATGCTCTACCTGCTTCATGTGGTACTCATCGTCCTTCCCGTTGTCACTCCCATTCTCCGAATGGTAGTCGGTGGGGCCGGGGGATTCGGAATCGACGCGAATGTCCTATAAATACAAATAAAAACCACTCGACCACAGTACCTTCTCCTCGCTGGTAGGCGTGGGAAAATCGAATTTCCCTCGGAAGTCGGGGAGCAGGCTGAGCGGAATCTGGCTGGTTGGCAGTAGCGTTGACGGGTTCTGGGGTGAGCTGGGCTTCACCTTTGATCGCTGCGAGGTGAACCAGTTGCACACCTTTAATGGGTGTCAGTGGTTTCGTATGGTTGTTACCTGTTGATAGCTGATCTTCGCATTGCTTTTCCGGTAGGGGAACCCGTTGAGGATGCTGACGTAGTTTTGGATTTTTGTTCGCGGCGGGTTGGGGTCGGCTTTGAACCATTTTTCGAGTTTGGGCAGCTCGAGGATGGGCGAGAATTTGGTGGGAGATGAGGGGCTGAAAAGATGTTATGTTATTTGTGTAATTAGCTGTTTTTGATACTACACGTTATCTTTTTCCAAGGTTTGACATGTAATCTTGCCAAACCTAAACCTTAGGCTTGAAAAACAAGGCCGTACTGCTCCAATCCTCCGTTTCTCCCCCAACAACCACCCCTGCAAAAGGTCTCACAGCGGATCGAAGGGCGATGAAAAAGCGCGGCGATGTGCTGTGCATAAAGGGCTAGGCCACGGCCCCGGAGCGCTGATTCAACGGGGATCATCGGGGGCGCACATCCAAACAAGCGAAGGCTTTGGGATTTTCTCACATCCACCCATCATCCGCCCGCGTTTCTTGTGGTAATAAATCGATATTGGGCCCGGTCGAGCCGTTATGGTATTTGCGGGCCAAGCCATTTGCATTAGACATCGGCTTGTGAATTCTGGGAACGCTGGGTTTTCGTTTTCTTTTCTTTACGGATCAGCCCCTGGTGGATGGCGAGGACAAAATTTGGGCTGGTTCACACCGAGATGTTTTGGATGCGATCTGATAGCCCCTGGGGGATGGATGGGAAGGGGCACCGGAACTGGTGGAATTTGGGGGGCCGCAAATGTCAAATGAGTTTTTGCGGAGATAGGAGGTGGTTTTTGGGGTTGTCGCACGAGTGGCATTAAGTCGAACGTGCAGAGCGGATTTTTTTAAGATTTTGGTAGATGGGATCGTGACTTGAAGGTGACAACGTTGGGTAAAGGTTTTGAATTCGAATACGAACTGATGGGTTGTCGACGTTGAGAAGTAGATTAATACTACTGAGAGTCTGCAAAAACCAACATCCGGCTCTCCCTATGGCAAACACAGGTCCCTTGTGAATGCAATATAGATATCATCTGCCCATCTCGATATCCTCGACTATACGTCTGGCAGAAACCGATTCAATCCCCCCTCCACTAATTGATCCCGCAAAATCGCCCGTTTGTGCCGAGCTGGCAGGCACGGCTCGATTTCCTCCCCTTTTGCTACATCCACACCTTCACTGTTTACACCAAAACCCATAGTCGGCCAGGCATAGGACCATCCATCCCCCCGAGCACTATGGGATTACAGGCCGGCCATTTCCAGCCCTACCCCCTCCCGGACCCGATCGAATTGATATTCCGGCATACACACAGAGCACGGCTCAGGCTTATCATGCGTGGGTCCGATCGCCGGGGCTCTCCCAGCCACCCCCCTGCGCCGTCGACACTCCCAAATACGGCCCATAACGCATTCAAATCCGCCAGAGCCGATCAGCCCATCGATCCAGGGCTGGGCCGCGAACGAATTTAGAGCCCCTGCACCGCTCCGCCACCTTGCCCCGCAGCCAGACCCCCGGGTTTTACGGATTGATAACGGCCATGCCTACATCTTATGGCTTAAGCCGTGCTTGGCGTCATATCCCGAAAATGCGTCGGTTCTGATGCGGGTGGAATGTGATTCTAAGCTTTGTGGTGGAAAGCAGAGGGTATCAAAGGTGATAGAGCCCGGATAGGGGTGAAAAATGATGATTTTCGTGGGTAACACTTACTAGGTCAATTATGCATTCAGGTCAAGTTTAAATTTTGCATTAGAAAGGGTCTCTGACGCGAACGATTTTACAGAAATCGTAAAAATTTGCATATCATTTGTTGGCCTGGCGGTTCGCGCTTTCTAGACGTACATTTAAATTTGCGAGAAAGAAGCGCTGCTCAAGAAGCCCCTTTAAAATGCTCTAAAGTCCCAATAATCCGCACCAGATCCATACCCCCTTACCACAAAATAGAGACACATGCCCACGATCGGCGCAAAGCAATTTGACGGGTCCCTCCAAACTAATTAGCTTTGATCCCATGGCCCGACATGATTGGCTGCCATCCTCCACCCCGCTCCATTCCCCCCGATGGTGGTGGATCAACGTGGCCCGATTCAGCCAGCCCCCCCCACAATCAACCATCCCCCAAGCTATCATTTTTTTGTCTGTTACCCAGACGGGGAGGTCCCAATGAGAGAAAGCCCATTAGCCCATTCGCCGAGACCTACCACCCCGACCCCGGGCTGGTTAGCTGCACGGCTTAGACGCCGTGCGCGTACACATACTGCGCTGGGGGACCCCGGGGAGCTGAAACGAAAAGGGGGGAGGCAGAAGATTAGGATCCCGGGGGCCCAGCCCTTCCCTCGCCACCAACCACCAGAATCTCCCTCTATTTCTCTAGCACTGTGGCCCTGGGACCCGGAGAAGGGAATTGGCTAAGCCGAAGGTGGGCTGGCCAACCCGCAGCCACCGGATTACGGTAGGATGAGATACGGGGATGCTACTGTGGGAAGACAGATGGAATAGGGCAAACGCTAGGATTTAAGAAGCAAGATTTTAGTCTTGAAAGAGAAATGCGATCCAAATTTCAGGAAGGTAGAAATAGAAAATAGAATTCAAAGATTGTGAGAAAATTCTTCTAAAAACCTACGATTTTTGATCATCCTGTGCATCCATCTGATCCAGCCAATCGCTGATCGTGGCGATCTGCTCATGATCAAGAAGTGTTGCTGGTTCTTCCGCAGTTATCAGCTGCGAGATTAAATCCTAAAATTATAATTGAAGATGTCATCAGACGGTGGCGACCACTTTGATATTGTCATTGTTCGTCGTGAGGAGGGTGGGCTCTTTGTTGTACACCATTTTCAGCAGTCGATTCTTGACGTCGCTGATGCACTGGGTGTTTGGGGGATCGGGGCCGGTCCTGAAAAAGATATTTATTTGGAGATTCGAAAACGGATCTAATATAAAGGTTTTTATTGGGGTGTATACGTGTCTTTGCGTATCCTATCCCTTTAACCGGTCTTCATAGTTCTAGGCCTACAGGCCACCCAGCCCTGGTCCCTTCCCTTCCTACCCAACTCCCCCATTCAGCCCCGAAGTGGGGGGACCCAGCCGACGGAGCGCGCTCAGATTTGGTCGATCCCGCCACTCTCAGGTATTCCCCCCGCAACCGTCACACAATACGAGGTGCAAACACGAGCTCGCCTCAACCATACACACATTTGCCTCTGCGCCGGCAAATTTGCTGGTAGGCCCCGGCGGAGACCGTGGACGGAGAAAGCAGGCCCCCCACTTGTCCGAGGCGAACATTTGATATCCAATTGCACAGCGCGAGGCGCTAATTTGCGCACGAGAGAGAAGCCACTTACTGTTTTGCCAGAATCCGGAGGGTGATTTGGCCGGCGATATCTTTGAAGAGCGATTCGACGGTTTCTTCTGGGTTGTCGGTGATCGATTCGAAGGGGAGGGGCTTCCAGTTCTTCATTTGGACGAACCCTGAAACAAAAATCAGTTATTTATTGTTTTCAAAGTCTGCAGTTTTTAGCCGACAACTTAGAACGATCGACCATGTGTTATGAAGCTTTAGGTCTGCTCTATTTAGGACCCGATCGTCTCGGATCTGCACCCAGTTTACAACACCATATGCTTCACGCCCCCGCACCACAATGCCATTGTGTTATCCCATCATCATCCACTAATACCAATCGACAGGAAGGTCATCCCCAACCCCCCAAAAGTTTAGGCTTCATCCAATCTCCGTTCTGGCCCCAAACCCATTTCCTCGAGATCCCCCGCTCAAACTCCCGCGAAAAGCAAAGGGGGTTAATGCAATTTCCTGTCAACCCACTACTCTCCCCTTTCTGTGAATGGCACACGACCCCATCAAGCCCATTCCCGAAGACATGAGATTTCCCCTTCAGCCCCCCACCATCTTGCATAAGAACCAGTTCTGAGACGGTAGATCGGGCGCGCGCTGCCTTTATGCCGATTTCCGCACCCGCGCGGAGAGGGAGGGGGCTTCTCAAGGAAAAAGAGCACCCCAGGGCGGGAGCCAAGGTCGAGATGCTTGGAGATGATGTCTTTCAGAGGGGGGTGTTTCACTGGCTATTATGGGGGATGGGGAGGGGCAGGTTCGCAACGTGTAAGCGCGGATGTTGTTGGCATGGAAGGGGAAAGCTCGGGATGGAAGGAAGGGTTGGGAAGAGGTGCAGCTTTGTAGCACGGTTTATAGATCGGTTTAATTGATAGGGATCCATGAGTCTATATCGAACAAAATTTTCTATATTAAGTTCTCACATCCTTTACACCGTAAGAACTCCTACAACCCTCGTACCTTTCCTTCTTTGCTACACAAGCTTCAGAAAGCGTCGTGCTTGGACGGGAAGTGTTTGGGAACACATCGGCCCCGCACAGAAACATGATCCTCTGTTAGCAGCGCGCGACCACAGCCACTTCCCATCAGTTTATCCTGACTACGCTATTTAGAGATCCACCCCTCCCCCCATCCTCCTATTCCATCCCCCCCCCTTCTACTTCTACACATACATACACAGACGATTTAGGGGGTCGGAGGGCCTCTGTGCTCGGGATTTTTCGAGCAAAGGGAGACGAAAAATGCCTTGCCCTCCCCCCCTGGAAAATAATCCCCCGACATTGAGGCAAGGGGGACCTGGAGAAAATCTCGAAACCCTCAGCCTCAACAGCCTCAACAGACACACGTGAGCGGATGAAATTCGCAAGGACAAATCTCACCCTCTGCGCTTTGCCACCGCGATTTTGCCAAAATCCACCCCCACCCCCGATACTTATTGGATTCCCCCTAAAAGAGCGGATCTCGTCGAACGATGTTTTGAGGGGAATGGGCTGGAGATATCGGATTAAAGGCAGCTTCGATCGGCCCGGTCACACGGTCTTTTTACCCAAAGTCCCCCGCCGTTCCCACCAGCCGCCTCGAGAAGGAGATCGGCCCGAGATTTTCCAGGCCCGGCTACTGTTTTTGCCCCGTCCACAGTTACTATAATGCGAAGAGTGCGCGAAAGACAGCCTATCCAGATCCCCTTCCGATAAGGCAACGCTTTGCAAAATCATCGACGCCTTGGAATGGATTGGGGGGAAGGATGCGGGTGAGGCATATCTCGAATGAAAAGCCGGCGGTTTTCGTTTGAAAAGGGCTGGGCATGGATGGGCAATATCCCAAGTCGAAGAAGGAGAGGTGTTCGCAGTGAATCAGCAAGGTGAGCGGGGGATGGAAGGGTTTTGTAAGGGGGGATGGAGGGTAAAGGAGAAAAGAGCATTCTGGCATTTTGGAGGAGCATCGATGGGGAAGAATAGTTGGAAGAGAAAAAAGAATAGTAAAGGACCCACCTCTCGAGTTCATGGCCAATTGTGGATGGCCGAGGGCAGAGAGCACCGTCTCGACTAATTGAGAAAGGTTTGTAGAGCCTGAAAATTAAGGAATAGATGGTATGAAAGTATCAATCACCTGAAACGACGGCAAATGTTTCCAAGAAACGATGCCCCTCATTGGCGCATGTGATGCATGCCTGAGGACGGACGGTTTCCACCGCCACCCTCACCGGGAACATCTAAAACCATCCGATTAAAAACCCGATTAGGCACACTTATCAAGAAACCGGTAAGCTAAACTAAATCGATTCAGATGACAACAAAAGCGAGAGTCGAAAAAAGAACAAGAGCGAAAGAGAGTGAGAGTGAGGTGGGGGAAACAGTCTCGCCCTTGCTGACATGGCTGGGGCGGTGCTGTGCGGGCGGCTGGTTGTAGTCGGGGTGGTGATCCGCAGAAATCTCGCGGCTCCGCCCTCGGGTCCACCCCAGCCACAACTGGGACCCAATCCCTGGGCCCCAACGGATTCCCGCCCCGACTAAGCTTCCGGCCCTCCAGAGTACCGTAGACACACAGAAAGCGGGGAGAAAACGGAGAGCCGCGCCCCATCGGCCTGGGTACGCTCACCGGGGCTTTGTTGGCCCCGCCTTCTCCAGCCCACCCCGGATTAGCCGCTTTGCATAAGCCGACGGAATTGATGTCCGATACGGACAGCCGCTCTGTGCCGCCATACGCACCCCCGGAAAACACGGTGAGTGGGCCCATCATCGTATGGACATGCCGGGATCCATGGGGATCGCTTCACGGTATCGATCTCGGATTTTGTCGGCTGTGACAGAATGGGGGGTCGGGAATCCGATTGCGTTTTGGGGGGGATGATGGCGGAGTACTCAAGGGAAAATTGGAAATTGGCTGTTTGGAATCTGGGAACTTTTGGAAGAGCAAATGTCTCTGATATTTTTCAAGCGGCTAAGATTGAAATAGCAGAGCAAAAAACTCGTGGCTCAAATTTTGAGATAACTAAATGAATCTCTCAAAGGTCAAATTGATGCTTATGGCTTCCGAAGAGGGTAAGGTGAAAATATTCAATTTAGCTTCACATTTGCGCAAACAGGATAAATAGCTCAAAGAAAAAAAAGAAAGCAAGCAATGCTTAATAGATATAAAATCAAGCTCAATCTAGAATTTTTCAAAAACAGATCGGAAAACTATATCCCCCGGAAGAACCGCACCCCCGAGACCAAGGATACTGAACGAACAGTTGTAGATACACCGGACCCGGAGTGAAAAACAAGCCCTCCGGGCACAGGAGAAGACGGCTGCCGATGCCTGGGGGGCTGGACAATAGGCGCTTTCTCTTCAAGGGCTCGAGATCGCCCAAACTGGTCTATTCCCAGCGGCGAATGGCACTGGTTACAGTCTCGGCAACCACCAAACACGCCATGGGGGGAAAGCACCTCCCCCCTCGTAGCGGCTGACCCCAAAAAAGTGAGGAGGATCTCGGGATGGAGGCGCAGCTGGGTGGAGGGGGGGAGCGAGTTTTGCATGAGGGCAAGAAGATATATGAGAAAAATATACGGTGAGGTGTCGAGAGTTGCGATACATGTAGGCGGGAGGACCAGATGGTTGGGGTGGTAGTAAGGGAAGGAATATGTGAGAGGGGGAATTCGGAGGGTGTGTGTTTATAAGGACAGTTGAAGGGTGATGGGTCGATTTTGGGGGAGAGCCAAAGAGCCAAGTAAGGGGAAAGGCTATTCGAAGGAGGGGAAAGCGCAAGCATGGGGAGGTAGGCCCATTGCCAGATGTCGCACTAATGACACGAGGCCAACGGCATGAGCCGATAGATAGGCGTATTAAAGTGTGCTTAGGCGTTACTACGCATACAGCTAATTACGCAGAGAGACTGCGAGAAAGAGAATGCGTTCTTCAATGTGTACGTGTAAGGTTTGTCCAGAAGTCTAAAGCAGGAGTAGGCAGAAAAATTCTTCTGAGGTAAGCTTCTTCAACTCGAATGGCCTAGCGCCAACCCAAGATCTGCCCCAAAGACAACTGGGCGATGTGCCACCGGGGTGACTGTGGAATATGCAATGGAGCGCGGTGAAAGCCGTGTCTCGACCCTGTCTGCCATTCGACACAGCCACCCCACCCACCAACACCACCACCTCCCCCTGCCCGATGAAAGGGGGAGCTCAGGAGGGGCTCGGCTCGGGTCGGGAGGCTGAAAGGGAATTGAAAGACCGATTGCTCGGGCGGGAACCGGTCTTCCGGCCCCCTTCACCTATAGGGATGGTGGAGGAGGGCTGAGAGGCTGCTGCTGTTGGCAGCCAAAGCGCCCTGAGGCACTGTCTCGAGAAATTCTACCACTCTCCCTGCCTTGTTGCCAAGGCAAAAACAAGCCCACCCAGGGCGGGACTGGCTGGGAGGGAGGGGAGGGGAGCACGAGCGCGGGATGTGACAGCCGGAGGGGTGAGCGGGATGACGGCTTGGGGTCAACCTGAATTCAGGTTGGTTGGCAGGTGGGGGAGAGCTGGGTGGAACAAGGAACTTGTCGTTCAACTTTCGTTATAAGGCGGGTCCTAGCCAAATCTACCCGCTAGCCCGAGGGAGGCAGCGGATTACGGTAGGGTTGCCATGGATACCGCAGAGGCTACCATATCCCACAGAGCGTGAGAGAGCATAGCCGAAGGCGTACTTTAGGAAACTATAAAGGCCGGACTATAATCGCAAAATTTTGTTCGAAGTCGAAAAGCAAGGTCCAACCATCACGACCCCTACCACCCATACCAAAGATCCAATGTTTACCTATTTGGGGGTGTAGGATTGATACCCAAAAGAGAGCAGCGTTGTAGGCGACGAGGTCTCGGTCACTGCCTTGAGGGGGAGGCCGAAGCAGGGCTTAGGGATCGCCCGGATCCTCACGACGGGGACCCAGACGGGGGTTAGGGGGTTAAGCGCGGAGAAACGAGAGGGGAAGGCCTTTCCTAAAACGTATACACACATCATCCCTATAAATGCCATGGACCTAGGATTTAGAGGGTTGCATGGGACCGGGGGGAGATGGGCTGGGAAAGTAAACTGGTGGGGTTGGAAAAGTACTTTGGGTGGAATTCTGGTCGTTAGGTTGCCCGAGCCAAAAATATTGCACGGATCCAATTTTTTTGAAAACCCATCTTATTTTGCGTTTTCTATGTCCATAAAGCTGACGATAAAAAACGGGGATCTCAGCATTTCAAAGTTTGATCTAAAAAGACCATGCAAACCGTAAGATTCAGAAAGAGTCATCTACAGTAAGATTCAGAAGCCAAGAAAAGATACAGCCCGCCAAAATAAAACAATTCCAAGCCACGAAAAGACAACCGCCCAAAAATTCCTAAAACGCCACTCATCAAAAACAGACAGTAGGATACCAGGATGACGCGAGATGGAGACGACAAGCACACCATCCCCCTCCCATCCCGCTATGCTCCTCCTCTGTTTAGCAAAAGCCCTAAGCCGGCCCAGGGTATTTGTGAGGCTCCGGCACCGCACCGACCCCCAGATAGCCGTTCAGCAAATTGAGGGCCCCGGAAAGCCCTGAAGAAGAGCCAGGCCGCCTTGGGCTGATGCCCCCAATCTTTACGACTTTCTAGCAGAAATCCGCTTGCGAAAATTCAGATACGGTGACGGGGCGCGCTCGGTCGGCTTTATGGGCATTATCTGAATCGGTTGGTGGAAGGCGAGGCAGGGGGGGGGGGAAGAGCGGATCAGGGATTTGGAAAAGACAGGGCGGTGATAGGTGCCAGGTGTACCCAAACAACACCAGTTATTCAGGGTCGCGTTATCGCCGAGTATGGATGGCCATCAGCTAAACAATTTTGTGAGGGGCGGCTGACCAGGGCGGTGATGAGGTTATCGGGTATTTTTGCGGAAGTGCTATATTTCGCGGAATCGGGCACTGGTGCAGACTAGGTTCTAGAATTTTGTATTCGCCTACAAAATTCATAAAATTCAAGGAATTTTCAACAAATCAAAGAAAAAGCGCTTCGCATAGTTGCGAAATCATCGCAAAGCCTTTAGACTGCAACTTCCGAGATCGGGATTACTTTAAAGTCATATAAACTTCGAATCCTCTCATTAGTTTTTGTAATACATTACCCCCAAAAGCCGAAAGCCCGTGACAAATTTTATGCCCTAGTCCAACAGCCCTGATAAAGATTGTCTTGAAGAAATCTGTCACCAAAGCCAATTATGTGAGCATCGCGGTCACACCTTGGAATTCCCCCCTCCCCCAGCCCTTCCCTAGGGGGCTTAGGATTATAGCGGAAGGGGTGTGAGGAGAAGCCGAGGGAATGAGGGACCAGATTCCCAATTGAACAATTCCCATTCCGAACAACTGAAGGCCCTGAATAGGGAGTGTTGCTTTCGTCGGCAAAGTCCATGTGCAAAAAAGGATGCCTGGGATTGGATGCATAAACAAAAGGATGATTCAAAAAAGTGGGGGGTGTAATGGATTGGATACATTGTGAAATATGTATTGAGTGATGCCGGCATCTCAAGCAAAGCATGGCGTGGTGATGACTGGGGGTACTGTTTGGGATTAGAGCCGCTCGAGGGGGGCCCGGCCCGCGGATTTGTGCCCCATAACGCGGATTGATAACGGTGATACGCGCGACCGGCCCCTAAGGGGGGCTCAGCCCATAAAATAAAGCCAAATATGTTGGGATCGGTTATCAATGAGGGCCGGGGTGAGCCTAAATAAACGCGAGTAGCGAGTTATTCGGGAGTTTACGGTCTGGGGAACGGGGTAATAGGATAGGGCGAGATTAACTTGGAAAACAAACGAAATACGGGATAAGTGGTCTAAAGTATTCGACAGTCTTGCAAAATAATTTTCTGAATTTCATCATCAGGGAAGAGCTTCAGATTAACAAAATTAAGCACATAAATTTATTAGATAAAGCCATATATCAAATCGAACGTGGCTACCAAAGCCTACAAAAGGAAGTATATCAAAACCAGCCGATTACAGCCGCTTCGCGACTGCAATCGGCTGGACTTCGGGCCACCCTCCATATTCTACACCACCACATTTAATCCCTACCTTACGCTGATGCCTTCATGGCAATAACTACACTGATGGCTTCAGATACCTCCTCTAGCCAACCCCCCCCACAAAAACATAGCTACCTTCCCGATGGCTTCAGATACCCCTCCGGGTCGAAATTCCGTTAAAAATCTACCAAAATACCTCCCTGATGGCTT